CACCCTTTTACTCTTAACCAGTAGGTTAAGCAGGATAGGAGAGTAGCTTATGAGGAGAAGGGCTAAATTGGGTGTGCATATTAGATATTGTGGCTTCATTGTGGCCACCCACCCAATCATAATTCAAACACTGTTGTTACGTGTGACGGGTTATTACTGATGCCGCTGAATGGTTAAGGAAACAGGTCACAATGCTGATTATGTGATTATGCTGATTATGTGATGGGTAAGATTTACCCTCTGTGGGAAGAACAGAGAGCAGTAGCTTTAATGCAATTACTCTGAAAATAATAATTCTACAGTTATTAGAATTGTTATTTGTTCAACTGGTTGCTCAGTGCAGAAAATCCATAAAGAAGCATCTCCAGTACACATGGTTGTGCAACCTCTTCTTGAACACCTCCAGCGAGCGAGCGAACCCACCACTTCCCTAAGTTATAGCTCCTATTGCAGAACTGCTTTTACCCATCAAGACATTTCTCTTCAAGTTCAACAAAAATCTACCCTCCAATATCTTTAGTCCATTATATTCTAGACCTGCCCTCTGTAGCAGTAGCAGCTCAAGGTTTATCCTAACATTTATCCTCACAACAACCCTGTGAAGATATGTTAAGCTGAAAGTGGGTGACTGGCCCAAGGTAACCCAGAGAGCTTTGTGGCTTAATAGGGATTTGAACCCTTGTCTGCCAGTACTTGAACCACTACACCAAACTGGCTTCATGTCATAGGGTGGTTTTGACTCTCATCTACTGAGCTGAGAAATACGCTTCAGCACAGCACCGGAGAAGACGCAGTGAAGGTGAAGTCAGTACTGTGAGCCAGAATTGATTCCATAGCCAAACCATTGTCCTCCTGTCCAGGTGGCATGGGCTCCTAATTCGTAGGCCACTTTGGCTACACTTGTCATTTGAACTTGTCTGTTTGTATCCTACCCTTTGCCTACCATGGGTCAACCAATGTTGATGGACAACAATCCCCATCATCCCTGACTGGTCATGCTGGCTGGGGATGATGGGAATTATAGTCCAACAACATCTGGGGACCCAAGACTCATCTGGAGCAACAGGAAATAATTGTTAACCTTCATCTATGTGCAGCTCTTCAAATACATGCAGATGGCCATTTTACCACCTCTAAATTGAAGGGAGAGCCTCAGCTAGTTCCTAGTTATGGCAACCTTCTTAAGCTGGGGTCAGGAATAAGGAGAGCTTATGTAGGTATTATTGTTTAATAGTATTGCTATTGCTAAATGATAAAAAATACACTTATAAATTAAAAAGAAGCTTAATTTAACAGCATAATGAATTTCACCCACAAACTTGTCCCTAAGGCTTCCTCTGCACTTACAAATTACAAATCAGTAAATCACATAGACACTATAAATTATTTTTTTCTTAAACATGTTGGGAAAAATACAAATATGTAACATCAGATGAAAGAAGCTAATTACCCTTCAACACACACTTTAACCAGCTTTTTGAGTCACAATTAGCATAGTCACAGGGTAGTCCAAACGTGTCTCCCCTTTCCCTCCCCTCTAATTCAAAGTGCATCCATTTGTGGGGATTTAAATTTGAGAAGAGATGCTAGTATTCAAGTCTGCCTGGAAATACCTTGGATTCAAAGGTTGCTTGAAGTTGTTTAAAGGTGAAGGGAGACACTGGGAACATTCTCAGATGTTCTCTTTATCCTTACCTTAAATTTTAGGATACAGCATTGGTCTAGAAACAGTGTCCAGGGATGAGATCTGCTGAGTTCTACCTACCAATTAAACTTTGGCATCTATGTAGAGATTACTGGATTCTAACCTTAGCTGTTGTGCACATAAAACTGTGTGTATGTGTGTGTGTGTGTGTGTCTACTCTAAAGCATGTATTCTGGAATTCAGGTGTCTGGTCTACAGTGGGAAGCGACTATGAGGAACCCATGTAACAAACAACATTGACTGCATATACAGCAAACCTTTCGAAAATCTGAGGCTTACAGATTCACAACACCAAACGGGGAGAGGGGATAAGCTTCGCTCATTCTTAAATATTTCCCCTTCTGTGTGTATGTGTGCCTGAGAGAGATGTCGGGGTGGGGGTAAGAGAGAGAGAGAGAGAGAGAGAGAGAGAGAGAGAGAGAGACCATCGTCTACGAAACCACCGCATTGACCTCTCAGTCTGAGGTGGGAGGCGGAAGATTCCCCCCATCAGCTCAATGAAAGCTGCTGCCCTCCGTGATCATCTCCATTAGTCGCTTCCCTCTCGTGCGTCTTTCAGCACCATGGAGAGCGGGCGAGGGACGCCACCGAGGAGCCACCGTTAAACGCAGCCTTTCCCAGGAAGAGGAGAACGGGAGGGGGGGGGCGAGTTGAAGTGCTGGAAGCGCAGTTAAGCTCCTTTCTCCCTCCCTACTTTTCAAGCAGGCTGAATGTTTAGGGAGGGCGCTCAACACGCAGTCCTGAGCAGCAGGGGCTGACGGAGCTGCCAGGTAGCAAGGAAGGAAGACGCCCGGGAAGCACCCATTCTCCAACCACGCGGAGGGCTGGATCCGGACTCCAGACACCCGAGAACCCCCAACCTCTCCTTCTCCGTCGGAAGCCGATCTTGTCCCCCCCCCCTCCCGCCTTGCCAGGAGAATGCTGGCAGCGGTGCAGCTGGGGCTCCAGCGCCCGATAGCCTTGTAAAAACCCTTTGCCCTGCCTTGCCTTGCGGGAACGGGCGTCTTCTTGGCATTACCCCGATGTGACCCCCCCTCCCTCTCGCTCTGGAATAATGGGGATCTTTTGGGCTTATGTTGGATTCCTTTCCTTGTCGGTATTATACATTCAGCAAGGACTTTCTTCCCAAGGTAAGAACTACCTTGTGTGTTTCTTGTGTGTGTGGCCAAAATTGCAGCCGGAGGGTCTGTGGTGGGCAGGACAGGGCGATCTTTGTGGAGGGGGCAAGCCATGTGGAATGGAAACATCGTGCTATCTTTTCGCCTTAGCCTTATTCTCGCCCCACTGGAGGGGAAAAAAGTTCACCCGAAGTGAATATGAAACCGATCTCCTACCAACATGAGCATAACATAGCCCGGCTGAGTAGATGCAATGTTTGTGCGTGAGCGGGGGTGGGGTGGGGGGGAAATAGCATGCCACTGTGTATCTTCCAACTCTTGTTTTCAAGATTCATACAGACACAGCGCCTGCGAAAAAGGGATGTGCTTGTCTGCTTTGAATAGTGCAGTGTTTTCATAGCGTTGTCCCCCCCCTCCCCAATTTTTTCAGGAGCCCTGAGGTCCGTATTCTTAAACCTTGCTTTTCGTCTGCAAGTATGTGTTTCTACAAAGCACCCCCCCTCCCCATCACCCTGTCAAAGGCGCCTCTTGCATTCCAAGTAGCCCCTGCTCTGCAGAAGCCTTCCAGTTGCTGGAGACTTTGAGGGCTGCAGTGATCATTTCAGCACCATGGATAGATCGTATCCATGCCGAATGCTGCACCCACAACCGTGCCGTTCTCCGCCGCTTTGTTTGTTTTAACTCTGGAGAGAGGGCTGGCTGAGGTGGTGGGTGGGAAACAGACTGAGAATGCAGAAATATGATCTCTTTCCCTGTTGATGAGGTGAATAGATATCACTAGCAGCGATACAGTGCTGGCTGGGGAGTGGAAGGAGACGCTGTAGAAAACACGCATGGAGACTGGTGGTGTTGGGCTTATTTTCACATATGCCTACTTGGAATTTAAGTACTTAAAAAGTAAAGGCAGCTTTTTTCTCATATAGCACTGCTATGAGTCCCGGGGCGTAACCTAGCACATATGCATGGATTATTTTTGCAGTCTTTTCAGTCTACCCCCTATCAACCTGTAACGTCATAGAATTGAAAGAAGTGGAAAAACTGATAAATTCGACTCTTTCTGAAAACTGAAAGTGTTTCTTGTTAGTTATTATTATTATTTCTATTATTATTATTTTGTCTATCCTGTCAGTGAGGGTTTCACACAGCTGATTGAATGGATCACATTCTTAAAGCCCCGTATATGAGTAGAAAGTGGATCAAGAAGGTTGTGATGATTATGACTTCTACTAAGATATATGCTGGCATCCTGAAATGGACTGTCAACACGCATGTCTTCTACAATATGGAACTGGAAAGGGTAGCCATACTGAAGTGCCAGAGGCAAAGTATTTCTTGTTTGTGAATCTCCTAAACTTAAACATGATCAAGTCTTTTCTTGGCTTACACTGCAAGCAAAACAAGAAAATGAAATTGAGAATAAATAATCACATGACAAGCTACTTCTTCAAAATATTAAGACATAATGCAACAAACAAACAGGGCCCCATTCGAGTAGTCTACAATATGTTTAATAATTAATATGGTATAATATGGTATAATCCATAAAATACAATAAATCATCTGAGCTGATTTTCCAAATGGTTCTGCCCTGGATCCCTAAGCTAGAATGCTGAAATACTACCTTCCTAAGAATATTTGCATGTAATTATTTGTAACTTTGCAAACTCCAGTGAGATGCTGGTAAGGGTGTTCAATTTGTCCATTAGCAAAATAGGCTTACTAAACAATTTATACATGTTTGTAAGGGATAAAGGGGTGGAGGGGGAGGAAAGGGTCTGAGAAAAAAGAAAAAAACATGGGGATGCAAAGAGGAATGAGAATTAGACTCAGAAAAAAGGAGGGGCAGGGAGAGGGAGACAGGGCTGCAGTCCTGTGCATACTTACTTGTGAGTAAGCTCCACTGAACTCAGACTTGGCTTAGAAAGCACCTGCCTAAGCCTATGCATATTTACTTGTAAATAAGCCCTGGTGCATTAAATGGAATTTACTCCCACGTAAGCAGGCATCAGATTGCAAGTGAAGGCAGATAAATTTAAGAGGGGGTGGGGGAGGAAAAAGGAAAGAGAGGTGGTGGAAAATTGAGGGAGAGGAATCCCAATAAGATATGCTTTTCTTTTGCAGCCAAATTTACTGAATTCCCTCAAAATGTCACAACCACTGAGGGGCAGAATGTGGAGATGTCTTGTGCATTCCAGAGTGGCTCTGCCTCAGTGTACCTGGAAATCCAGTGGTGGTTTCTACGGGCAGCTGAGGACCAAGACCCTGGAACAGAGGTGAGGGCACTCAGGTATCAATTTGCTGCCCCTGAAATCCTATGCAAGTCAGCCACTCCCCAAAAGCAGAGAAAAAAATGGGGACCAGGGGGACAAGGAAAGTCTTGCCCCCAAGGCTTAATATATCTTACAACAGTGGAAATCCATTGAGAAATAGCCACCACTAGGGGATAAAACCTTGAACCCTTCCAGGTGGTTTTTGGTAGTTGATAAATTCATATGCATGGATAATGCATTCTTTCTTTTCCTTTTCTCTTTTTTTTCTCATCAATGACAAGGCACAGTATAGATATCATAGCAATGGATTGAATTTGCAACCCAGGCTGTTGCAAAGACTTCCTCCCCTCCCCCCCCCCATAAGAATTCTTGCTATCATCTTGCTATCATTCTATCCCTTCGGGGATTTTCATTGCCTCCTCCATTGTTTCAGACTGATAAACACATGGAGCGGAGATACTTACTAACACATTGCGGGAACCTATTGTAGACAGGATTTCTAGAAATCAAACAGGCCTCCTTTGACTCAGTTGTAGCAATTCTTCCTTATTTCCTATTTGGCAAGAAACAATCTCACTGGCTTCAGATGATGCTTGTTTTCATTCCTGAGGCAGTGGGAAAAATCTGCCTCATCTCTATCATTCCATTTCCTTCCAGCCTGTCTCCTCCCCCGAAAGTTTTTATTTGAAGAATTCATTTGAAGTATACAGACTGCTTTAGAATTCATACTAATTTTCCATGGAAGGCAAGCAAACATATAAACCTGTTAATATGGCACCTCACTCTTCTGAGACTGCCTGCAATGATAGGCATTAAATACAGCCAAATGTGAAGAGATCAGCCTCCATCCAAACTATGTAGCACAGTGGCTAAATGTGACAGGAAGGAACACCATTTTGCCTATAGGTGGCAGGCTGAGCATGTGAGTGTTCTCCAAGGAAGAATCCATTTATTTAAGTAGTATTTCAACAGCAATTAGTCATCAGAAAACTCACAAGCTATGGGCAAGTTCAGTCTTACCCCATGGTCCTCAGACTGAAACAGATCAAGAAATGGGGAAACCCAAACATCAAAAATCCACACATAGCCTGTTCAGGTATCATGCCCATTTTAGATTGGTGATTGGTGTGTACCCCAAATGAACTCTGCATCTCACAAGTTCCATGGTTAATCCATAAACATGAGCCTATTTTCTCCTTCCCAGTGAGCTGTTCCCACAATTTCGATGATTTCAAACATGTGATCAGCTTAACTTAGCCCCTTCCAGTGTGCTGAGAATTAGATAATTATCTTAATTGCCTTACAGGATGACAGATAATTCTCTGTGGCAGCTGATCTATGACATGAACTCATATATTCAAGGATATTTTAGTCACTGTTCTGATCACTGTTCCTCCTGCCCAAATTTACATCCCTCAAACACAGACATCTGCTTCCTCATGCAATGTCCCCCCTCCCCCCCCTCTCTCACCCCAACACCCTCCGGTGTGGAGCTTTTACCTATGCAAGGAACAGATGTAGGATTTTCATTTCTGCTATGGCTGCTGCTCTGATCTCTCAAGGCTCTACATTCTATTGGGAGAGCCTTCTTCGGAGGCTAGATCAGGCTTCCTCAACCTCGGCCCTCCAGATGTTCGGAGACTACAATTCCCATCCATCCCTGACCACTGGTCCTATGAGCTAGGGATCATGGGAGTTGTAGGCCAAAACAATCTGGAGGGTCGAGGTCGAGGAAGCCTGTGCTAGACAGTCTGGTGGGTAGCCAAGGAAGCCTTGAGCAGTGGCAGAGCCCTCCTCTCTTTTTATTTATTCATTTTACTATCTGCCCATCATGTTTCTCAACTGGTTAAATTATATAATGGAATTAATAATTTAAAATCTGATGAAAATGCAACCAGGCATCTTATTTGCATTGAAAACAAAGCCTTTGGGCAGAAATGTTCAGAGGAGAGGGAAATTGTCCGTTTCATATGAAATATTGTGCCACATTCTTTGTTTTTGTCAGAGTTCTAGCAATCAAAGTCTCTAATTTGCATTAAATACTGAGGCTTTTGGAAGTAACCTTTTTGGCCTTGCTATGATCTAAAAATATATCAAAGGCTGGCGAAGGAAGGCTAACTGAATGTACTCAGTATGGGATTGACAGAAAGTATAGGTCCTTCAGGATGTGGAGTTTCCATATGCTTGGTCTGAAAAACTCTGGGATGGTTTAGCTCCCTTGCTCCTGAGCCTTCAGACCTTCTGAAAGCTTGCCTACATATTCTGGAACCTTACGGAACCACCTTTTACAGACAGTTGCTTACTTCTAACTAAACTGCCATTAGTGATGAGGCCTTGGATGTTTATAACAAAGCATTTTCTATTCAGATGCAGAATTGCTTTGGCATTCTGGGTTGCAGAAGAATTTAGGAACAAGGCATCCAGTTTCTAATGCATTAGTGTAGTACGAGTTCAGCAAATTTACATCCTGAATCAATTAATTATGAACTGCAGCAGGCATCATGGAATCAGGCCATCTAATTTAGCTAGCATCCTGATTCCAACAATGACAAGCCAGAGGCATCAGGGAAGTTCAAAAGCATAAAGGCAAAACCTTCCTTTGTCATCACGACCTGATATTTAGCAGTACATGGCCTCTGAACATGGAGGTTCCATTTGACTATTAGCATTAACACCTGTTAGTCCATTCCTTTGGCTTAACTCCCCTTAAGTCAATGGCTACCACCACTTTTTGTGGCACATAGGCCAAAGAAACTGAAGGAGGTACGATAGACACATTTTAAGCCATGTTCAATCACAATACAGTTAGGGACCCTCCTTCAATGAGTTCATTAAGAAACTACTAAGTACTTGCCTTTTTTTGTTGATATGATCTATCTCACAGCTGTGTAGCCAATTCAACTGCCTTTGAGTGAACATTTGTCTCCCACCAGTAAACCCTCGCGAACCAAACTATGCTTGAGCTCTGGTTGTCATAGCTTATTACCAAGCTGGACAGAAATTAGAGTGGGTCCAGGCAGAGACTGTGGGAAACCCCATGCAAGGAAAGGAAGGGAAGAAGTGATTTAACCTTTAATGCTGGAGGTTCCTCACCTGTAGTATGCAAAAACAGTTATCCATTCCCCCACAGGTGGAGAGAGATTTGGACAACGATGGAACAAAGATAAGCGTAAGTGGATTACAAAATATAGATTGTTGCTAGATAGTCAATTACTTTCCATTTACTGTGCTGTCTTTCATTAGCCACCATCCAAAAATGCATGAGCCCTGGACTAGTGAATGGGATTTATTTTCTGCAGCTTTCCCTGTGCCTTTTGGGGCATGGGCATTATCAAAGCCTTTGGCACTCTTTTGTGCAGATGAGCTGGTTCACTTCCCTGGCCCTGCTCAGGCAGAATTTAAAGAACCTTTTAATTTGTTCAGGTCTTTAGAAGGGGCTAGGTTCCTTTGAGGCCCTGTAGCTTTGTAAAAACTGTCATTTTAATTGTTGGACATTGGGTTTTCATTATATTTTATGTTGTTAGCCATCCAAGGCTCCCTTTGGGAACGGAGACTAGGATAGAGAATGTATGCTCCTGTATACAGAAAACATTAATGGGTGTTGTTAGTCAAATTGTGGGTGGCCCTTGCCTCTACCAGAGCTGGAGGTTTTGTGGAGAGTCCAGGCAAATGAAGACACTCTCCATTCAGGGTCCTGCCAGACATGCACATGATCCTATTACATGCTGGAGACCTGCAAGTAATACCTAGGGCAGCTGTGGATGCCCGCAGGATTCAGTAGACCCTCCTGGCCATATACCTGGGGACATCACTTGGAGTGTGTTGGGATATAGAGGCTTCTGCATGGGTTTCCATGCTTACTGCTTCAGGTTGAGACTTCTCCACTTCTCAGACCATCTCCAAGTTTACAAGGGCATATCAGGGAGAATGCAGTGAGCACATAGGTGCCTATTTCTATTTTATTTACCTCTTCTGTCCCATAAGGAATTCTTTGCTTTCACACAGGTTCCAAAATGGGGTCAAAAGTTCAGTTTGACAATGTGCAGATCTAGAACCCTTGCAGCATATGAACTAGTAAGAAAAGATAAAAGTAGTGTGCCTTTAAATCTGGTCATGTGATAGATCCTATTCTCCCCAACCCCAACCCCCTCCAAGCATAGACACACAACACAGCGAAGAAGAAAAATCCTTTTGTGTGTGTGTTTTTTTTAAAAAAAATGAATATGGGTGCTTAAAAAGAAAACTGCTACAGAAAACAGCCTTTTTTGTTTTTGGAACCACACATCATACTTTCAATAACCTTAATGGAATTTTTGCCCAGCATGACAAAAAACAAGCCCTTCAGAATACTTTGTATTTCTTTAATCATTATTACCAAGAACTGAGGAACATGTAGGACCTAGATTTTCTTTCTTTCCCTCAATATTATTTTACTACTTAGCTGAAATGCAATTAAATAAATATAGGAAAGTGATTTTCAAAGTGCTACAATGCCATGGAACTATGCGGGAAACACACAAAAAAAACCTTAATAATGGAGGGAGAGAGTAGATTCCAGATGTTCTTGTATTAATTGAAGCATACAGAACTTGAGACCCACCAAAACATTTAAAACCCAGTAGACTCCAGATTGCCAAGCTTTTTATTAACCCTGACATCCCTATCCCCCACGCTTTGGACAATCTCATGCCTGCAAGTTTCTGTAGCACTGAGTTGAAATGCCTCTCCCCCCAAAATTTGCTGCAGTCTTCTTGGGTGGGAAAACGGGAAAATAGTGATTAAGATGAGGAGATCAAAAATTGGGCCTTTCCACCAGTGGCAACATTCCTCTCAGTGCCTGTCAGTCACCGTCATTCATTCCTCCCCAACCCCACAGGATGATGTTATATGATTGCAAGTGTCCTTAGAAAGAGAATTGTGTAAACATGGAACTGTTGGCACTACAAAAAAGATGAGCCAGAGGAGGGGGGGGGGTTCCTCTTGTCTACTGACCTTCCAACCCTCCATCCAGCCCCACATTCTCCACTAAGAACTTTTGGCCCACCTTTATTTGGGGGGTGTTTTTTGCTTAGTCACATTAGCTTTTAACATCTATACTACTTGTTTGCTTTCAGTATGACTCACAGCAGCAATTAAAGCAATTAAAACCAGAAACAAAATGTTTAAGGATGGGGATATTGGAGATGTGCAATATCCCTACCCCTCACCCCAGGAAAAATAATGCACTCAAAGCTCCTTTCACATCCTTAAAATTCTTTGCATACTCATCCTGAGTTCTCCTGACCAAAAGGACAAAGGACAAGGACAAAAGGGAAATTCAGTAGCCGTTCTGATCCCATATTCCACCAACTTGGTCCAATGACAGATGATGAACAGACAACTGTGTAGTGCTGTTGAGGGGCAGGCGACTCCTCTGGCACACTGGAAATTGGATCCTGCATTAAACATTGATTGAGCTTTTGGACCAGTCTGGTAAAGTTAGTTGTAACTAAGACTGCAGTTCTAGGCAGGCTGGCCTGAGTGTAAGTCCCATACCAGACCCTCCAAGTGTCCCTATTTTCCAGGGACGTCTCTGATTTAGAAATGCCTGATTTAGAAAAGGTTTCTGATTTAATCCTGGAATGTCCCACTTATCCTTAGAATGTCCCTATTTTCATTGGATAAATGTTGGAGGGTATGGAGTTGTCTGACCCCTGAGCCGTCTGAAGGCAATCCTGTATAGGGATGTCTTTTTAATGTTTTATTATGGTTTTATATATGTTGGAAGTAGCCCAGACTGGCTGTGGCAACCCAGTAAGATGTGTGGGGTATAAATAGTAAAATTATCATTATGGAATGGGACATCCCAATTTTCATCAAAGAAATGTTGGAGGGTATGCCATAGGATATTGTGGGATTTAACTCCAAGAAAGAACACATTGGTTAGGCCAGGGGTCAGCAAACTTTTTCAGCAGGGGGCCAGTCCACTGTCCCTCAGACTTTGTGGGGGGCTGGATTGTATTTTGAAAAAAATAATGAATTCCTATGCCCCACAAATAACCCAGAGATGCATTTTAAATAAAAGCACATATTCTACTCATGTAAAAACACCAGACAGGCCCCACAAATAACCCAGAGATGCATTTTAAATAAAAGCACTCATTCTACTCATGTAAAAACACACTGATTCCTGGACTGTCCTCAGGCTGGATTTAGAAGGCGATTGGGCCGGATTCGGCCCCTGGGCCTTAGTTTGCCTACCCATGGGTTAGGCCTACTGCTCCCACAGAGATCAATGGAAGAAGGCAGTTGTGTATAACTTAACTATCACTGCTATCAATGGGAACTAGGACCAGATGTGAGAGGAGGGAGCTGTGAGGTGGAGTCATACCTCCCACCCAAATAAACCCCCTAAGATCAGCCTGTGGGGATCAGATCAAGACTTGGGCACTGGTGGTAGGTGATGCTCACTCCCCACCCCCCAGTGTCATTTTCTTAATAAAAATTACCTCCCAAATTATCATTTGCCTGTGGCACACTTGGTAGCTTCAGGAGAACAGTTTTGGTCAGGAAGATGGTCAGAAGGAATACTAACCCCCCTCCCAGCAGCGTAGTTCCAATCAGATCCCTGTCCCTTGCTGCACCAGTTGCTATCTTTAAAGAAAGGATATTGGTGGAATAAAGCAGGTGTGTTGGACCCCAGGCTTGAGGGCCAATCTTGCTCATCTTGGCCTCTTTATCTGACATTCAAAATTCTCCCCACGCTCCACCTATTTTCCCCAGGCAACATGCCATCGCTGGTCCCGCTTCACCCTGCAAGAGTGCAAGCTCTGGCAATGCCTCTCTTTTTTCTTTACCTGGACGGAGGGCAGAAAGGTTTGTGAGAGCATTTCTAGAAGCCAGCCTACAGTGCAAAGGTAAAATTTGCACACATTTGCCTGCCCAGAAGAGAATGTGGCCCTTGAACATCTGGTTTCAAGGCTAAGTGAGCCAATTTAGCCCTCTAATTAAAAGCAGGCTTAGTAGAAGGAGGAGACGAATGCATGTTTGAAAAGAGCTCTCTGGAAAAACGTTGATTTATTTTAAAAGCCATTAATTAGAAGCATAGAGTTTAGAGGGTAAGAAGGATAGAGGGAAAGAAGATAAGAGCAAGAGGTGAATGAATGCTATGCTCTCAAAATAAAACTATAAATAAAGCCCTATTATCTATATGGATTTTGCTGGTCCAACGCCTTTATGGAGAGTTAAGTTCTTTGTCTTCCCAAATTCCACATAGCTAGATATCATTGAGCATTGACATTCCTCCCAGAGTAGGTGGGGAACTTTCATCCCATGGCGCCATCCTACCTGGCCCGGAGCACACAGTTTCTGCACTGTTTTTGCACTGCAATTAGGCTTCAAAAAAGCTGCAGTGTGTGTGAAGGGGAGCTTTAGAAAAGCCTGATTGTTGCATGGGGGCCCCTTTCTGGACTTTAAAAAATGCTAAGATGGAAGGGAGAAAGAGAAAAGCAGAGAGAGGGAGAGGGAGATGAGGTGGGAGGGAGAAAAAGAGTGAGAGAGAGCACATTGATGGAAGAGTGTGAATGGGGATGCATTTGTATGGATGAGTGAGGCGTTCTGGCCCAGTCCACCATTCGCATGCAGTCCCCAATAGGTCTTCCTCACCCCTGGCTCAGAAGTTAAGAGTTCTGGATTGTGAAGTTCAAATCAATGCTATAACTAGACATGCCTGGAAATGGATATATGACATATTGAACAAAATAATCTTAGTGAGATTAAGACTGGTTTTGGACATTTAAGGGTCCTTTTGCTCAAATGCAGAGTTGTCATAGCTCATAATAGCTCCTCCTGCTGGAAAGCTATTGTGCAAAATGCCTCTCAAACATCACTATCCAATCAGTGATAGTTAACAGAATGATATGTATAATTTCTCTCCCTGCACCTGGCCATTTTCAATGGCTGAATGTGATGTAGAGGCCTAGCCGGCAAGTATAGAGCAAATGAGAAATTGCAGTGGCACCACTCTGTCCTGCCTGCTGCCCACATTCAGTCTGCAGTTGATTTTTGACACGTCAGCCACTATTTTAACAACTTACCTAATCACTACATGACCTTTAGTGCCTGTTTGGCCCCCTCCCTGTCCAGTTTGTGTCTGGGGCAGATGCTCTTAGTGTTCTTTTTTTAGATACAATCTTGCTTAGCATCTTGCTTTAATTATGAACCCACTAGGTGGTCTTGGCCAAAGCCATCATCTCACATCACAAAACTCATCCCACCATCTGCAATGGGGGAATAATAAGGATGCCAGCCTACTTTACACAGAACTGATAAAAAAAATTGGAAAGACAAAAAATGTGAAGGGCTTTGTACACCGAAGAAAATGTTGTATCAATACTAAATATTTTTATATTGTCAGAAAGGTTTATATATTTATTCTGCATTTATTTTATATACCCCCCACCTCAAGGCAGTTTACAACACATTCAGAAAATATCAACACTACCCTATAAAGACAACCAACAAACTCACACCTATTTGTAGACAGTGGGGGAGGGAGGCTGCCAGATATTTTTGTGGGTGAATTCTTAGAACTATCTTTTTTTTAGAAATGCTGTTTCACTTAATGTTGAATTAAACAATCTATTTTAATGGATGAAGGAAGCAATGCGATAAGAGAGGACTGGGAAGTGTAGGGGGCACACCTATGGCTTCCCTCAATGATGTTAAAATAACATTAAATACTAATAGATCTAGAGTTGCACCCAGCATGCATGGATGGTGAAACGGGAGGGACCATTTTTCCAAATATTCTCCTGGGGAGGAGAGGTACGTGAGGTATCTAGAGGTACTTAAAAAAAAAAAATCCCCAGAAAATAGAATTTCCTCCCCTGCAGAATAGTTACTCACCTCCAACACATGCAGAACCCAAAAACCCTTAGTCCTCTGGGCAATGGGTGGGGGGCAGAGTTTGCTTTCTCTTCAGTTCTACAGTCTTGGGGCAATTGGAAGCCAGAGTAGAATTGTTTCTGATAGAGAGAAGGGAATCACCATTCCTGCAGCTGCTCCTTCTCTAGATGATGGTTGGAACACCTGCTGGTGGCAACGTCTGATGTGATATGTTGTTTCTGGAAATTTTGCAGACAGTGAAAGTACAAGGGAACGACATCTCCCACAAACTGCAGATCTCCAAAGTCAGGAAAAAGGATGAAGGGTTGTATGAGTGCAGAGTGATTGACGCCAATTATGGAGACCTCCAGGAATACAAAGTCCAGGCCTATCTCAAGGTCAATGCAAACAGCCACACCCGACGAATGCAGGCCTTTGAAGCTTCCCCAATGTGGCTACAGGATAAACCTCGTAAAAACATCTCAGCAGCCATCCCCAGTAGCATCCATAACTCTGCCAGCCAACGTATGCGCCCCACCTCCAGCCCTCCAGCAGATGCCAAAATCCCCAAACAAAGCCCACAATCAGGTATGCGTAACTATTTTGAGCACTTGAAGGATTTTGTTGCTAATGACTTTGCAACGTGTGATTTTTTAAAAAATAAAAAGGAGGAGGGAAAGGCTGTTTACTGGACAAAAACATGATATGCACTTTCTTACACCTGAAGCACAGTTAGGAAAACACATTGTACAAAAATCCATACTTTTGTATTCCTGACTATACAAGACAAAAAGTGCCCTTATGTTTTCACCAGGACTACACAGCTTGTTATCCACCAAGTTAGATGCACGTAGCCCATGAGCCATGTATGGATGGATGCCTTTGGGGGATTGCAAAAAATAGGACAGAAGGGAGGGCTTGTCAAGTGCCTGGAAGGCCTCAATGCATGGCTTGATCACTCACAAATTATGTAGGTTTAATTCAAAGAAATTGCAAGATAGCACATCTCAATGACCTAAACAAAGGTTTTAATAGAGAATATAAATAAATATCAAGGCCCAAAGCAAGAGGAGTTTTATTCAAAGGTGCTATAAAACGTTACTATTATTCCTCCCACCACCTTTCTTTTCTTTTCTTTGTCTTAGTTTCCTTGGTGTCTCTATAGGACTAAGCTGCACATTGTGTGACTCACTAAATTGCAATCTGCCAGCTATGTGCTGTGTCCTGCCTACTGCTTGGCCACTCTCCTTGTTTTTGAAGTCTCGTGCAGGCAACAAAGCCAAGGAGGTTTAGTCCTGGTGGACCATCACACGTGGCTGGGGGGCTGCATTTGTCATAGTGGTCTATAAGTAGAGGTGGTTTTCTCTAAATACTTGCTTATTGATAGTAAACAAGCATTTAGAGATAAAATGCGTCTAGATATCAAATGAACATCAAATGGAGAAAGAGAGAGAGAGGGAAACCGTAAAGGCATTTATATTTTGGAATGTAGCACTCTTCCAAATATAAATATCAATTCCCTCATCACCTTTGGATGTAATTCCTCAGTTTTGGAAATTGGATTAATGTGGACGTCCTGTCTGCTTACCTGCATGAAACCACTAGGTAAGCCATTCTTGTGTCATTCTGCCAAATGGCGAGGAGAATTTGACCACTCCAAAGTTCCCCCAGATTTCTGACTGGGTGTGGAAGTGTGGAGAGTTGGGGTAGCTTTACGACTAAGAGACTGAGTGATGAATCATGATGCCTTTGGCATGAGTAGGCTAGGAGGCCTTTTTAAGTAGGCTACACTATCTCACTGGGAATAATAATATTGACCCATCTTACACAATTGTTATAAGTACAGTAAGATGATAGAGATAACTAACAATGACAACAGTAGCACTGATCACAGCAAAGCCTCATTTGTAGGCATATGGGAACTGAAATGTGGATTTCCATAGTGTTGAATGAACAGACGAGACGTGAATGTACACAGCAGTACATTTGCTGGTGTGCTGCCCTGCGGTCAGATGGAATTTAAGAGGAAACCTAGCAACAGAAGGGGGAAATATAAAAAGACTCTGCTGTGGATTGATGAAAACAAGCATTTTTCCTCTCTCTCCAACACTGTAAAACACCCCAGCGGCAATACATGTTCTGATAAGACAAATGTGCAAGTTAAATATTATTTTGGTTATTTTCTCCAAGCAGATCAAATTCAATATGGTGCTGAGGACTATGTCTTGCTTTAAGGACATGTATGATTCTATGAATGCCTACAAATGCCTTAAATGTCTCGTTGATACAAGGCTACATGGCAGAAACACCACTTTTATATACTCATATTCTGTGCTCCCACTGGCGGTGACAGGTTGCAAGTACACTGCTAGAGACTTTGGTTTCCATTTGACAAGAGAGCACCGAGGGCTTATGGTGTAATCAAATATAGACAGATCTATATCTCACTGTTTGCAACTATTGGTGTAGATACATAGCAAGGTGACTCATCTATAAGAATTCTTTTGAACAAGCGAAATTAAATACTTTGATTTGCCAACATTTTCGTGCAGCTCAGGAAAGAGTGTTAGATGGTGGTTATTCAGCAAACATCCTCCAATATTCACAGCTGGGCAATAGTTTTATTGTGGCACCAAACAGAGCAACATGGATAGAAACTGTGGGCCTCTAAATGTAAATAGTTGCAGCAATAATAATAAAGCAGAAGGAAGTGGAAAGCAAGAGAAGAGACAAGGAAATAGTAAATGGCAGCATCTTGAACCCCCTTAGAAGCAGGTGGGTTATGATCATAGTCAAGGTCTTTGTTGCCATTCATAGAGTGGGTCATGTAGAAGCTTTGCATGTTGTATCAACAAATGATTAAGGGTTATTTCCCCTTGAAGCATGTGGCTTGGTGTTGTTTTTTTACTGGCTCAGCTTAAACTGGCGGGTTTCAAAGTGATTCACTGTTGCGTGTAAGCTTTCTCAGCAGCATTGTGGTCTAGACAGAGGGGTTTGGTCGGTGAGGATCTGACATGTGGATGGTGACGCATTGCAGTAGATCATTTAACTCACTGATCTTTTGGTTCCTCCTCAAGCACATGAAGTTGTGACGCTCCTCGCTTAAGGGGAGTATTTGTGAAACTCCGCATCGTCCAGGCAGGTCTCAAGCATTATCACTCTAGAGCAAATTTCAGAGTTCCATCTGACATTTCCTGCCAACACATCTAACAAATGCAGCTCTAAAAATACAGAAATGGAACACAAAATTCATGTAAATGAACTTTCTCGTTTTATTCATAATATCGGAAAGAATTGTCTTGAATTTTGAGTGAACAAAAAATGAGGCAACTGTGGAAGATCTTGCTCTGAACTTGAAGGGAACTGAGAACTATGATCAGCGTAGGGTGGGCCAGATCTTGGTCTTCTGAGGGCCAATTTTGACACATGGGCAGGACCACCCACCTGTCAGTCATTTGATGTAACAATGATGTCAGATGATTGGTATCGGGGTGGTATCACCCACCTACCAGAGTTGACCTACAGGGCAGGCAGAGAGGTTTGCTTTGCCAGCCTGTTCTTTACTGGAAATGTGCTGTTGAAGAGGCACCCAGCAAGATTGAACTTTCCGTTCATCAGTCGATGAACAGAGGGTTCAGTCTTGTTCTCTGCAGGGGTCTACTGGCAAAGCAGGACCCAGCAGGATTAAACCCCACCCATCAGCTGATGTCACTTAGTGAGATCAGATGATTGACAGGTGGGCGTGGTTTTGGGAGATGGTGCACCAAGATTTGCCTACAGACTGGAGGTTTCCAATCCCTGAAGGAGAGATTAACAATTAGTAGTAGGGGAGATTTCTCCCTCCCGTTTCATAAATATTCAATCATAATTCTTTGCACTTTTCCAGATTAAAGCTTGTTTCATCAGGAATTTTTATTCTTTACCTGACAGTAACTTTTAGATCCCCCCTCTCCCTTAGCTTTTATTTAAGATTTTGTGTATCTTATGTTTCTGTGGGAATTGTAAAGGAGAACTATTCAGTTGTGTAGTATTTTGAGTTGTGGGCCTTGTATCCCTGTTGCAGAAAGAGGCAGAATATACATAATAATTTATTTCTACAAACAGTTATCCTACTGTGAACTACAAAATGCTTTGTTTGGGTGTTGGGCAGAGGGGGGTAAAATACAGGGCTGCACTGAATATCTTTTAGCTTAAGAAGTTTTTTAAAGAAAAGATTTGGTGGAAAATATTTATGAAAAGCCGAGTAGTTTTCACCCAGCTTTAATAAAATGTAGCATCTGCTTTTGAATGAAGTTAAAACATCACAAAGTATTTTTCATTCTAAAGGAAAACCTAATCCAAACGGGCAGGCTGTTCAGAGTTACCAACTCTTCTATTTTATTTAGCTAGATTACAGCAAATGGAGTTGGCCAACACACCATAGGGCCTTACTAAACATACAACAGTCATTCTGCACAGTTTGTCCCCAGTATCTGGTAGTCAGGTATGATGCTACCGTAAATGGAGGCTCCATACGACTACAATGACTACTACCATAGCTGTCAACTTTTCCCTTTTTTAAAGGGAAATTCCCTTATTCTGAACAGGAGTCCTTGCAAGGAAAGGGAAAAGTTGACAGCTATGGACTACTACCCACTCATAGCTCTTGCCTCTGCTTTTCCTACTGCTATATACCCCCTCCCCCGGATAATGTTGATTTCAGCTTTTAGAAGGTCTTTGAGCACCCTCCATGGTCCTGCCCCCTCAATGAATCTATATCCTCTCTGCAGCAGTTCCTATGTTGGTTCCTGGTAGTGGCATAAACATGCCAAGCCTTGATACCGGCCCTGACAGAGGAAAAGGAAGGAATATATACAGTGGTGCCTCGCAAGACGAAATTAATCCGTTCCGCGAGTCTCTTTGTCTTGTGGTTTTTTCGTCTTGCGAAGCACGGCTATTAGCGGCTTAGCGGCTTAGTGGCTATTAGCGGCTTAGCGGCTATTAACGGCTTAGCGGCTTAGCAGCTTAGCGGCTATTAACAGCTTAGCCGCTTTAAGAAAAAGGAAACAAACTCGTCTTGCGAAGCAAGCCCATAGGGAAATTCGTCTTGCGGAACGACTCAAAAAACGCAAAACCCTTTCGTCTAGCGAGTTTTTCATCTTGCGAGGCATTCGTCTTGCAGGGCACCACTGTATTCTTGCTAAAACTCAGTTCCTGAATTCTTATGTCTATTAAACAGTGATTTTATGTTGTTCATATTTATTTCTGTAGTGTGTATCAGTGCGTGTGAGACTTTATAGAGTAGAAGAGCCATTCCTTGCCCTTGGGAGCTTGCAATCTCTAAATTTCAACAAGAGGCAAGAGAGGAAGAGAGGGTAGGGAAAGTACATGGCTGTTTCAGCAGCATGTGCTTTGGCATAGTTGCACAGTTTGTGTCAAAGGCTCGATGGAAAATGGTAGTTTCCAAGAAGGATTTGAATGAGTGAGAGAAGTTGCATCGTGCAGGTGTTTTCAAAGGTGGTTCCGAAAAGATGAGGTAGCAAAGGTGGAAGGATGAGGTCTTCTGGGGGAACTGCAGACTGCCATGATGGTCAGCAGTGGAGTTGGGAAAAGCAAAGGGATATATTAGGGTATAAGAGTAGAGAGATGAAGTGAGGGGAGACAGAAGACCATGGTGGACTTTGAAGGTAAGGACAGGCAGTTTTGCCAGATCTGGGAGTGGAGAGGATACCAATGTGGGGATTTAAGGTGTCACATGATCAGAGCAATGAGAGAGGTGACAGCAGAATGCTGGATAGATGTAAGGAGATCCAACAAGAGACAACAAAAGGGCACAGCAGAGAAGATTGCAGTAGTCTAGGTTTAGAGAAGACCTGAAGTAGCAATAGGAATAAGTTGTCTGCTGCAGGAATTTGCAAATGAAGGGTTCCCTCGGCCTGAAGCAAGATGAGCGCCACACCCCATAGTCACCTTTGACGGGACTTAACCATCCAGGGGTCCTTTACTGCAGTCATTTCTCTCAGGTACAGTAAAGAGGAATGGGCGGGGAGAGGGGAACGCATCATATGCCAACCGAGAGGGCAAGCAAAACATCCCTACTTGGTCCCGAAGTGAGAAGTGATACTTACACTACCACTTCTACGACATGAGGATGGGTGCAGTGATGCTGGCTATAAGGAGCCATGTGCCACTCTCCTTCCTTGGAGGTTTCTAAGCAGAGGTTTCTAAGCCCATCTGTCAGCGATGCTTTACTTGAGATTCCGGCATTCCAGGGGGTTCGACTCAATGACCTTCAGGGTCCTTTCCAATTCTGTGATTCTATAGGTGCCACTGGGCTCAGGCGTCAAGTGGCAGGCTGAGATGGAGGAGGAGGAGAAACAGGAGGATAACATGGGGGGTGGGATAGAGACTGGAGAAGACTGGTACTCCCACAGCATATAGCTGTTATGGATGTGGGAAACAAGACTCCCTAGAATCCAGGAAGAGCATCAATCAACCATTCAGGGTAGAGGAACCAGAGTCAGAAGGGGAGGGCACAGCCTAGTTGCCCAGGACGCAGCAGTACTCCTGTCACTAGGAAGGGAGCCCCCTCCCCCAATGCAATGAGTATCTGCAAGCTTCACAGTCTTACAAGGAGCGTCTCCACCCCCATCGTTCTGAGATCCAGTGCCGAGGGCCTTCTGGTGGTTCCCTCATCGAGAGAAGTGAGGCTACAGGGAACCAGGCAGAGGGCCATCTCGGTAGTGGCTCCTGCCCTGTGGAATGCCCTCCCATCAGATGTCAAGGAAATAAGTAACTATCCTACTTTTAAAAGACATCTGAAGGCAGCCCTATTTAGGGAAGTTTTTAAGGTTTAATCCTGTATTGTGTTTTTAATATTCTACTGGGAGCCGCCCAGAGTGGCTGGGGAAACCCAGCCAGATGGGTGGGTTATAAATAATGTTGAGTGAAACTGGGAACTGACTTGTCTGTTTTGACTGTCAGGCCCATCTTCTTCTGGAAATGCAATGGCGTCCAGCACACCTTCACTGCACGGTGCTGAGTCCTTCTGCTTCTCCCGGCTACAACAGAATTTTCCAGTAGCAGCGTGTTGGTGTGTAAGGATTTGTCAGCACGGCAGTAAAACTCTCGTACACAGCTTCCTCTATTCTATGAAGCTTTAATGTACAGCAGCAAAAATAAAATAACGGCCAGGAGAGAGCAACGGCATGTTGCCTCTCCTTTGCAGCCAAAACAGAAAGTGAAAGTAAGTTCACATTCGTAGGTGAAGCACACCCCGGGGACAGGACATCTTTTCCCTTGAGGTATTAACCCTGTAAGCTCTTGGACACCTCACAAATAATAAATTATTATTATTCTTATTATTATTACAAGGCATGAGACTTTCACATGTAAGCCCACCTTGTCCCATCTTTAGAAGCTTGGCAGTTGGGCATGCCAACCTATTGGGACACCTCTGTTGTTTCTATATAGTTGCACATTCCTTTCACCGAGCTTGGTTTTCACAGGGCAGAAGCACTGCTTCTAGCCAGGCCACACTCTCCTTTCATCCAGCCTGAGCATAAAGGCTGCTGTGACTCCTTAGCTGCTACTGAGGCTGTGTATTGTGTATTGAGACTGCGCCTCAATAAAGGTCTCTTCCTTGCTCTCGAGTAAGAGCCTCTGTTGCTGTGGTCTCAGCAGACGTCAGGGCCGTATGGCATGCTGCACATCACTCCATGTCCTGCCTCACCCTCAAGAGCGAGCTGAGAGTTGTGCCCACACCACCCTATCATTCAGACAACTGGGGAAAGGCGATACACTGTTTATTTGTTTATTTTCACCTCATGTCTAGAAAGCACTGAGGAAAAGATTGATAACTGAACTGAAACAGCCACACAGATTTCAACAGAACTCTAGACAATCCCACCTCTGTATGTAATTACAGTGCATTCAAAGGCTCCTATCTCATTCTCTTGTCCCGTTCCAGTTCTCTTGGAGAGATTAAGACAAAACCTGGCTTTCTTTGCTTTGTTTGAACTTACTCTAGGTGCTTTTTGTCAGAGAACTGACAAAAGATAGTGAGCCTATTTCATTTTTACCTCCAGGCTACTGTGACAAAGGGAAATGACTGTGCCTGTATCTAGAGTGCTGAGACTTCTATCACTGTGCTGTCTTTTCAGCAAGTGAAGGACATAAAATTTTCCACTTCACATTTTGATATCAGTTATTATCCAGATTTCCTTGACAACTTTCACCACCAAACTCAATAGATGTTAGGCATTAAACAGGGGTGAAGAACATCTGGACTACGGGCCTAATTAAAAGAAGTCACACATGTGTTTGGTAACTATAGGGACAGCTACAAAGGAACTATCAGGGTCTTCAAGGGGGATTACTGGGAACCAAGAGAGGCCTTTCCTGTTTTGCCATGTGCCGTGCCAGATTTACATATAAGCTAAACAAGCTATAGCTTAGGGCCCCACTCTCTTGGGAGCCCCCCAAAAATTTAAAAGTATTTCACTATTAATGTACTTCTTCTTAATTGTATTTCAGTTCAACAATTACTTTGATAAAATACATATTTTGTTATGTGCAAATGGCTTTAGATACCTATTAGGTCCATAAATTACCTGGTTACCAGATTTATTTCAATGAATCTGGGGATACAATCAATCAACCAATCAATTTTTTAAAAGAGAGGAAAAGAGTTATTTTTTTAAAAAAGTAATATCTTCTCTTCTGTGGTCTCCTCTGTTGCGGGGCCTTCCTCCAGGTCTTTCCTGGAGCACTAGCCGTGCTTCCCCCCCTCCCTCCTTGCACTGCGTTCCCTTACAGGCTTACTTGGGAGTAAGCGTTAGCAGAAACCCCTTCCTCCTGCTGCTGCCATGCCCACCTGTCTGGGCGTCTCCTGCACAGGCATCATCCAGTGGCCGCCCATCCATGCCGTGTTGCACCCAGTCAGCAGGTCTGGGGCAGAGCCAGCAGCGAGCAAGTGGAAGGAGAGACACTTGGACCGGATCAGCTCGTCTCCTGCTCACCTCTCGTCCACAATGGCCAACTACAAGCTGTCCAACAAGCTGAGCTGCCGCTTGCAAGTCGAGCACAATGGCAAAGCAGCAGCAGCCACAATCGCCCAAGCACCACCTGGAGGCCGATCAGGAGGCTGAGCTGGCAGCCTTGGGCAGCGGTGCCAGTGGCAAGCAGAGTGCCAAGTTGCAGCAGCACACCGAGCTCAACGACCCCGCGCAGCTCTCGCCCAGCACCGCATCTTCAGCCCCTACACCGAGTCCCCACATGATGTGTCTTCTGTGCAACACATCATATGGGGACTTCCAGTGAGGCAAAATGGTGGGCGCCATGGCAGCGGGCAGCTCCTGAAGCCAGCCAGAGCCAACTGCGCTACCAGGCTGGCTCTGGGCTGCTGAGACTGCTGCTGCCATGTTTCCCGGGGACATTAGATGAAATTCGGGGACATTCCGGGGATGGAATTTGTCCGGGGACGAATTTGCAAATCTGGGGACTGTCCCCAGAAAATGGGGATGTCTGGTAACCCTATAGCATATATTCAACACAAAAAAACCAGTGACAATTTGTTGTTGACAAAGGACAGCTGGACGTATAAAGGGCCCCATCACCTTCAGAAGCTGAGGGCCTGATCAAACCTATATCCGGCCCTGGCCATGTGAGGCGAAACAGGAAGATGCTGCCTCCTGCCGTAAGCCATGCTTACTGGGGTCACACGGCAGTGACCTTTGGCAAGATCCAGTGCCACCCTGCAGGATTATGCCACCCAAGGCAGCTGCTTCACTCCATGTTTTGTTTTGTTTTTTTAATAATTTTTATTAACAGGCCAATCAAATCACATTAATTCCAAATCACATTAATTCCAAATTACACAGCCAAATGTAAAAAATTTTTGTTGGGTTGGGGGTACCCATACTTCGAGCTCCGAACGGGATCCAAACATCTTTCTTACTGCTGCTTTAATATTCACAGTTCTGTCCAAATAGTATTCACAGTTCTATTCCATCTTCTCTTTGTTGTTTCCCTCATCTTCTTGTTTTCTTTATGATCTCTGATAATCTCCACAAGCGGGTTGAAAACAAACGTTGTATATCCTGTGTGGATTTTACATTCATCCAAGAGCCATATCAAAATAGACAGACAGTATTTCAACACCTCCGTACAAAATGTTTCCCACAGTCTGTCCTGGTTTCCACAGGCCTGCCGCTCTCATAAATTTTCTCAGGGGGCCCTGCCAGGCCGATCTCACATTCCGATATAGTAACGAGCCATGTCCTCCTCCTCCTCAGTCCTCCTGCAGGCAGGCCTGCCATAACAAACTCTTTTTATTACTGCATCACAGAGAACTTTCTTTCCTTTCTCAAAGTTCTCACATGCCATATCTTTGATTTAGTAATTAATTTCCACACAGTTCTTACTCCTCCTGCTTGTGATCAGTAATCGCGACGATTCTTTCTTAGGGGGAAGGGTTATTGGGTACTCACATAAGACAAAAAAAAGAAAAGTTCCCCCCCTTTTCAGTCTCACTCCGACATACCAATCCTTTGATGATTCTTTTTCTCTTGATTTATTGTTGAATCCAGCCCGTCACTCCACATCCCAGAGATCCCTTTAATTAGCAGTCTTTACTCCCGATCTTCACTCGAAGTATGTGCATTTGCTTCTTTTCTTATTGTTTATTTTGAGCTGATGCAGCCAATGCGCGATCAGAGACAGCGTCTGGGAGAGCCGGACCCACACAAGGGCTTTGTGCCTAGTGCCCTTACCCCCTTCTTTCAAATCCGGGGGTGATTTATGGCCACAGCAGGCAAGGCAGTGTTCCCCATTCCCTTGGGCAACAAAGGGAGGCTGCATACTCCCATATCAGCCTCTTAATTACCTTGTGTGAGCTGGAGAGATGTTATTGTTGGCCATCTTCCAATGCGCCCCTAGCGGCCCCCCGCTTCACTCCATGTTTTTAAACAGAGCACTTCCCCCTTTGCAGAGGCTTTGAAGCTTCTTCAAAGGTGTGCTCCCAGTGTCAAGTAGCACCGAAATTCCATCTTCAAAGAAAACTGATTACAGTTACAGTGACACTCCTTCAAATATTGGCAAGTGTCCATCACCTGACATCTCTCTGACATCAGGTGGTTGATAGGTGAGCAGCCTCTGTTGGCGTGTGAGTTTATCTTCGACACCTATGAATTTTGCTCTCTCTGTGTGCAGCTTGGAAGCTTCAGTAAAGCTGTTAAGCTCACCAATGTGAAACAGTTGTTGTCTTAAGCAGAGTTGTTTAAATTGACACAAAACACACACCCTGTATTTTCCCACTCTATAAAAGGTTACACAAAAGCTTTTGTCTCTCTGGTGCCAGAGGGGTTTCTTTACTTCAATGTCCTTGCTGAACAAAGTCCGCGTGCAAGTTCTAAGTCAATTTGCACAGAGTCCTGCTACTGCTTAGAATTCCCTGAGTCCTGAACTCTAGCAATTGTCCAAGTCTTCCTCCCAAATGAGCTCTTCTCAAAGAGTTCAGGTAACTTCACAGTTCTGCAATGATCCACTCCTTCCTGATCGTGACCAATGACCCACCACCAACACTGCAATCTGATCCCGTTTAACATAATGTTGCATGCCTGGTCTGCCCAGTAGCACTGATAAGGAAGTCACCAGATTCAGCCAGGTACATTTCAGGAATGAGCTCTTTCCTCTTTAATGGAATTACTGGTAACCCGTTAGCTGCATTCCTTAACACACTCACCTACCTATAAGAGATGGTCTGCAAGGGGATGGGATTTAGGAGCTGGTTGGATTGACTTTCCCCTTCCTGCACTCATTTCCTCTGAAGATTCTAAAATAATATTTTGCAATACTGATAGCTCATACACAAGGATATATCACAGAACCCCAATACGTTGCAGAGATTTCTGGGGGATGTCTTAAGGCGTCTGCTTAGGTAATGAACACCGAGTGTGTCCACTTCAAGAATGTTGCCCAAGAGTCACCTGTGGCTGTGCATTGCAGAAAAAAATGTGTGATGAGGAAACCTCCTCTCTTGGGAAAGTTTTTGCACCATTGTTATGGAACTTCTCACTGAAAAACTTCTTATGTGTTTTCAAGAACCCAGGCCACTGGTATAATATATTTGACTATATATAATAGTTGACATATAATGGCATCTTTTATCTGACAAAGTTCATTGGTAATTAGCATCTGACAGTGTTTCACAGTTGGCAGCTTAGGAAGTTTAATAGATGAAGCCTGCCAAAATCAAAGCAATTAAGAAAAGCAAAATATAATAACAATCTTAAGCAACTTTTAGAATTTCCAGTTTGGATGGTAAGCAACATTTATCAGCCTGCACAGCTGCCCAAAGCAGATTGTGGTGGGTGACTTACTGGTGCCCTGGATGGAAGAGAGGCATGTTTCAATGTTAGATGCATGGCTGGATGTGCACATTGCGCCAGTGCTGGAGGGGGGCAAAGCTTTTGTGTCTAAATAAGCCTCTGCCCTCCAAGCCAGACTTCTATACAGCTTTATAGCACCCACCCATCTTTTGGCTGCAGTATGAGACTTAGATTAGTGGTGTGGAACACAAATGACTTATGCATCACTTCTCTCCTGCCAGTGGAGTTGGTGGAGCAGGCAGTGGAGGTGGGCTTCCGCTGCCCACTATACCCAAAGTGGGCACCTCAGTCTGCCTCATCAGTGGGCCGAGCCTGGGTAGGGCTGGGGGCTGTAGAAACCTCCAGACTTTTGTGTACAATGAGGTACATCCTTTGTCCCACCGACTTTGGCCACGAACGCCACCAACGTTTTGCTACCACTGGCAGGTGGGCCCCAGAAGTTTGCCCGTGTGGACATGCAGCTCTCAGGGTGAAAACGATTCCCTACCTCTGGACTAGGTGCTCACCCCCAGGGGCCAATTAGGGTTTTTGTTTTGCCTGTCAAACAAGAAAATCAACCAGGTTTGCTTAGTGCACAATCAGTTTTGGGTTTTTCCTGTCTACTCCACATTGTGTGTGCTTGCGGGGGGCGGGAATGCCATCTTTGGGTAAAAACTGGTGAGGGGCATTTCTATTTAGAAGTTAATTGGTCAAGGGAAAATCTGGTGTGCATCTGGAAACACTTTTAAGGTGGTTGGGAGAATCAGGATTCCCAAAACTTGTTACTTCAGGATGTGGTACCCACAAAGAGGCTGTAGACACTCACCCACCTGCCCTATCAGCTACCTGGAACTATGAGTCCTGAGTGAGCGTTAAGTGTTGCAGGGGAGCATCTCTCAATACTTGAACAGTGAGCTGCTCAAAAAGTTGAGTGACTAGGGAGCTCCTGAGTTTAACATGTTAAAATTGGAAATCTTGCTATATTCAAGTTAATAAAACCATGGCCCTAGTTACTCAATGGAAGAATAGGTATAATACTTCTAAGCAGTCCAGGCAATGATGCTAGCTATATATATTTGGTCAAATTTTTGACAAGGCGTAAGCTAGCTCATGAACCATCTTTCTCATATGGTCTCCACCCACTTTCTCATGAAAATATCCATCCCCACTCCAGAGGAATCACACAGTTTAAGAAGGCTTAACACAAGTCTCCTACATGTTAAATCAGAAAGCATTTGGTTTGGCGTCATCACTTATCACTTTTGCTCTCGTTTGTAAGACCATCAAATCAACAGGACTGGGAAGCAGCTTTAAGTGGCCTCATGTTATTCCAAGTCACAATTTTAATTTTTTTTGAAAGATAGATAGATAGATAGAGATAGAGACCACTGGGTTGACAATTGCCAGGAATGCCGAGACACAGATTCTTGGCCCAGGTCAAATGCAATCAGAGGGGTGCTTGGCACAAAGGGTTATCATCCTTAGGTCCACCTGAGCGGTTGAGGGCTTGTGACATGAAGCCACAACAAAAAAAATATTTGATGGTTGCCATGCTGGCAATTGTGGTGGCTGCATTTAGAACACTCATGTGTAGGTGGTAGACCCAGTTCTCATGGCAACTAAAGCTTTATGTATAACTGTGTGCAGAGTGAGATGGGTCTATGCTTTTAGCTTTGCCCCTGACATCAGGTCTTCTTCTTTAAACTGTGTGCTGCCCACAGACGTCAGTATAGAAAGCCTGATGCATGAGCTCTTGCTTATTATGTGTAGGAGCTGCACACAATTGGGACATGGGGTTGTGTGGGTATTTGGATGATGCAGAGTCCCCACAAGTGAGTATGAGCTCGCTTTCTGGGCTTTCTGTACAAACAACCACATGGAGGAGGAGCCAGTGATCGGCTGTGGCACATTTACGCCCCATAAGTGAGTAACACATGTATTTGCGCGTCAAGACTCCAGCGCACCCCCAAGGATAAATAAATACACACTGACACCAAATTTTTGTATAAGGTTAGTGGGCAAAAATTTAGGCCACAACTTTATTGATTACAGCAATGTGAGTGGTATTGGCTTAGGCATTGGCAATAACTATATCTGACTCCTGCCTGCCTTGCAGAAAGTCTGGAAAGGTAAACAACTGAATGAGGGAGCTTCATCGATGGCAACCAACTGAAGCTCACCCCAGGTTTCCTGCTGGGTCCTGGTATGGCCCAAGCCCCTCAAGCGGACTTCGGACGAGATCCAGACCCACAGATTCCTTTATTGGAATATCCTTGTACCTGGAGGGGCAGGTGATGGCCGCACCTCACCTCCCCCACATCACAATAAGCCAATACCTAACCGCCAAACCTTACAAAAGTTGTGATGATTCCTAAGAGGTAGGCAAAAACCAAATGGCCAGTGCCAATTTGCCAAATGGAAAAAAAGTTCCTACCCAGCCCCTGTTCCAAAACAGGTGACCAACCGAAGTCCAGAGCAGGGCCAAAGCAGACATCTAAAATACTGGGCGGGTAGGTGGGGGTTTGGTGTCGCGAAGCCAGGTGAATCCCCAGAAATGCGTTGCCGCCATTTATATGCCCCCACAATTACACCACCGATCTCTGATTGGCCAAGGTGTGATCGTGGGGCCATTGCGTGGGCTGGGCTGAATCTCCCACCCACCCCAGGGTAGTGGGGCAGGGGGTGCCTTAGGCCCACGTACAATGTGAACCCACAATTAGGAGGATCCGATTTGGCTTAAATAACAGTGTAGTTTGGCAGCTGTGTTTTATACACACACACACACACACACACACACACACCACCCTATACCTGGGCCTCTCAGGGCAGTTCACAGAATAAAATCAAAATATAAAACCCACAAAATACATAATAAAAATACAAACAACAACCCAATAGCCCCCCAATAAAACTGCAAAATATAAACAACAAGAACATACTTGCCCATAAAATATACATTTAAATATTATTTTGTTATAAAATATGCATTAAGTGGATAAATAGGAATTTTCATGTTCTTTTAATGTGGGAATGGGACAGAACCGACTTATGAATGAACCCATGCAAAACTAACATGGACCAGAAATAGATGGATCTGTCCATCCCTGGTTTGCATCTCTGCTCAGCTGTGAAGCTCACTTAGCGGTCCTGGGAATTATATTAAGACCATAGTTTGCCATAAGAATATAAGAAGAATCTGCTGGATCAGGCTAGTGGCTTAAATAGTCCACCTTCCTATTCTTACAGTGGCCAAGCAGATGTGTGTGAGAAGCAAGAACACAGGACCTGAGCACAACAGGCTTCTCTCATCTTGTGTTTTCCATCACCTAGTATTCTGAAGCACACTGTCTCTGAGAGTGGAGGTAGAAGATGGTCATTGCACCCACAGATAGCCTTATCTTTCATTAATTGGTGCATCTCCTTTTAAAGTCATCCATATATGCTATGTGAATAAGTCCTTTATTTTGTTTGTCCTGACACTTGTGACATTAAGCTTTGCTGGATATCCTTGAGTTCTAGTGTTACAAGAGAGGAAGGAAAACTGTCCTCTATCCAGTTTCACAATGCTATGCATAATTGTATACACCTCTATCATGTCTCCTCTTACTCAGTTTTTTTTAAAATTATTATTATTATTATTATTAATTATTATTATTATTATTTTGACAAAGTAATAATCATACATAAATAAGAATAAAAATATGCACCCTACCACCAAGACCATTCCATTGTAACCATCCAACCTCTCAAAATCTCAACACCTCTTGTGATGGTTTTACCCCTTTCCATTTTAACAGTACAGTGATACCTTGGGTTACAGACGCTTCAGTTTACAGACGCTGGTTACAGCTAAAGTGGTGCTTCAGGTTAAGAACAGTTTCAGGTTAAGTATGGACCTCTGGAATGAATTAAGTACTTAATCTGAGGTACCACTGTACACTGGTACCTCAGGTTAAGAACTTAATTTGTTCTGTAGGTCCGTTCTTAACCTGAAACTGTTCTTAACCTGAGGTACCACTTTAGCTAATTGGGCCTTCTGCTGCTGCCGTGCCGCCACCGCACGATTTCTGTTCTCATCCTGAAGCAGAGTTCTTAACCTGAGGTGCTATTTCTGGGTTAGTGGAGTCTGTAACCTGAAGCATCTGTAACCTGAGGTACCACTGTACAAATTCTACAAATATCCTCCATATCTCCTCAAAACAATTTCTCCTGCATATTCCCTGTCTTACCTTAATGGCACATGATAATTTATCATTAATAGCTATATCCCACGCCTCTTTATACCATTCTTCCATTTGATATTCTGCTTGCCCCTTCCACTTCCTAGCTATCATAATTCGTGCAGCTGTCAATAAATTTGTGAGCAAGTCCTTCCTTGCCTGCAAACCTTCCACCCCACCGTAAATTTATAATAATGCTGCCTCTGGACTTTTGGACATACTCAGCTTTTCTCTAAATTAAAACCAAAACCCAAACCCAAATATTGTAACCTTTCCTGATAAGGAAGTGGCTCCATCCTTTTGATTATTGGAGTTGCCCTTCTCTGAACCTCTTTTGGACCTTTTCTGAATGCTCCTAGGAGGCTGCTGTTCCATAATTTGGATGCCACCACAAAAAAGGCTGAGATTCAGGTACCCTCTGAGACGACTCCCATGAATGGCAAACCTTGTGTGAGGCATTATGTGATTACCTTAGCAAACAGAGAAGATGACATAGGAGAAGGTAGTCTCTAACAGTGGAATTCCATGCATGAGTTCAATGAAATTTACTTTCATATAAGTAAATACATGCTAAAGGACACAAAGCCCAGACTGTTCGAGATTTCTGATGGTGGTAACCAGCATGTGAAATTTCAGATAACAAGGCTAAGTTAGCAAAAACAAATGCACAACCTAGGTACAACAACAACAACAACAACAACAACTAATAATAATAATAATAATAATAATAATAATAATGTGGCATCAGTGCCTTTGCAGAATACTGCCCCTGACACCTACACAATTGCTAAGTACCGTAATCATATTTTGGCAATCAATCTTTAGACCAAAAGGCAGAGGACAAGAAGGCTTGGATCTGAACTAGTTTCAATTAAAAACTCAACTCTTTAACAGAATACAAACATTTATATAGTCAGATTTTCTAGCCAAACCTTAGTAAGGTGTCTGTTTCAGAATTGTTGTTGTTGTTTAGTCGTTTAGTCGTGTCCGACTCTTCGTGACCCCATGGACCAGAGCACGCCAGGCACTCCTGTCTTCCACTGCCTCCCGCAGTTTGGTCAGACTCATGTTTGTAGCTTCAAGAACACTGTCCAACCATCTTGTGCTCTGTCGTCCTCTTCTCCTTGTGCCCTCCATCTTTCCAAACATCAGGGTCTTTTCCAGGGACTCTTCTCTTCTCATGAGGTGGCCAAAGTATTATAGCCTCAGCTTCAGGATCTGTCCTTCCACTGAGCACTCAGGGCTGATTTCCTTCAGAATGGATAGGTTTGATCTTCTTGCAGTCCATAGGACTCTCAAGAGTCACCTCCAGCACCATAATTCAAAAGCATCAATTCTTCGGCAATCAGCCTTCTTTTTGGTCCAGCTCTCACTTCCATACATCACTACTAGGAAGACCATGGCTTTAACTATACGGACCTTTGTTGGTAAGGTTTCAGAATTAGGCACCAGGCAAAAATGTTCCTCTTCAACCTGGCCTTTGGCTGATTCTACACACTTTTAAATGTGTTTGTGGGAGGGGGGCTATTGTTTCATCATTTTTGTTTTAACCATTTATCTGTGTGTTTTTCTAGTATCTAGTATTTTTATCCTGTGACAGCCCTGAGATCTTTTGTTGAAGGGTGATATGTAAATCTAAGTAATAATAATAATAATAATAATAATAATAATAGAAGAAGAAGAAGAAGAAGAAGAAGAAGGAACATAATTCTGCTTCCCATTTTTGTTTGAAAAACATCATAGCACACTTGTGAATGCTGCAATGAAAAGAACATCCAAATTGTTCAACTCCATTTGCAGTATAAAAAGAAAATGTGCCGCATAAGTGAGAATTTTTGTGGGAGCAGCTGCAAGAACCCCCTGCGTACTTATATTGCATAGGGCTATAATATGTGCATGAAACTAGGTTACAGCTGACCTTCTTATGAAAAAGAAAATACCCCTCATTTTCTTTAATGCTTCAGAAAAGGAAAAGTTCTCACATCTATTGTTGCAAGGTTGTTCCTCTCGGTGCCCTTTTTCTTCGTCTTCTTCACCCTCGCCATTCTTGGCCTCATTTTCCCACACTGCCCTTGTATCCTTTTCAATGTCCTCACAATGCTATGTCTGGCATCATGGATGCTGTAAAGGGCAACTCCCTGATCTCAATCTTGCCAAGTATGATTGACGGCAAGGTGTTATTTTGGGTTTATTTGCTCCTGGTCTTTCCACCACCACTTTCTTTTTATACCTATTCACATCTAAACCTATTCATGTCTAGAAGGAGATTCAGACTTGCAATATTTATAGTGAGCTGAAAGGGGAAGAAATATGCTTTGAAACTACGTTACAGCCAACAGCCGTCTAATATGCAATTCCCTGCAGAGGAGGATTTAGGGCAGTGCGAGTGGTGCAGCCAAGGAGGGCACCTTCTCAAAGAGCAGCAAGGGCTTGCCTTGCTTCAAGAAGGAGGTGTGAGAGCTCTGATAGGGTCCTACAGCCAAGCAAGTGCTTACCAAGTTTTGGCAAGGAGGTAGGAGGGCTCGAGGATCCTGCCAGAGCCTTGTGCCTCCTTCCCAAAGCCCATCTTAAGCCACTAGGGCTGCAGGGAGGGCATCAGATAGCCTGGCACAGGGTGACATACAGTGGCGGAGCTTCATGCTCCGCCACCGGGGGGCGGAGAGCAGGCGGGGGTGGGGCTCTCGTGTGTCCCAGGGGTGGGGCAGCCGCAATGGCACCCCACCGAGATCGCGCTGCCGGGGGCGGTGCGCTCCCCCCGCACTCCTCTTCCTCTGCCAGTGGTGACATATTATCTCCACCCTTGTTCCCAGGACCTGCCCCTGAAAGCTTAGAACATGGCTGAAATGGTGGTGAGGCCATGTAAGTAGACCAAATTTTGTGGCTATACATAAATGTACCGTAACCAACTCAGGGTAAACAACAGAATTATTTTTTTTTTAATTTTATTTTTTTAAAAATCTGTGCAAGAAAATGGAGGAAAGCTTTAGAACAGGCAACCCCAAACTCAGCCCTCCAGATGTTTTGGGACTACAACTCCCATCATCCCTAGCTAACAGTACCCGTGGTCAGGGATGATGGGAATTGTAGTCCCAAAACATCTGGAGGGCCAAGAAGAAAGAAAGCACCTATCTAAGACAACCAACATAACCTACAAATATTTCCAGGAAACATGCAATCCAGTTTCAAGAGAGGGACAAAGCGTGCTGGAAAATGTTCTGCAGGAGTGGCTGGCCAGTTAGGAAGAGGAATCCAGATATTTATCACTTATACAGAAGGAAATCTGATTGTTCCCATTTCCCAACTAGGTGGAACTAGAGGTTGTGAAGGGGATGAATCACCTCTTGAATTTTCTTGTCAGATGCGATGGAGAAATATCCTGTGGAGTTGAGTATGAAGGCTTCCATGTGACTTGCTCGCTCCCTGTTAATGGCATGGAGAGTTTGTGGGTACAGAGCAGATACCCACTTAGAAGGGAGGACTTGCTTTTTACTGTAGATGTTCATTAAAAAGCACACAAACACACATGGGTTGCTACGGTGAATTGAAGTCAACAGCTGTGTCACTAAATTAAGCTGAGGAACGCGAAGCAAAGAAAGAAGAGGGGGAAATGCTCAGAGGAGAAGCAGCAGCAGCAGCTAAGGGGAACAAACAGCGGTGGGAAAATAATAATGTAAAGTACTATTGACAGTTGATACAGCTCTCTGAGGTCTCAAGCTGGGAAGGGCTTTGTTCTGTATCAGAAAAGGTAGCAATCAGGAAAGTGGGAGGAGAGGAGTGGGTGTAATTAAGTTATGTTTTGAAACCTCACTCACATTTCTGCAAGTAATGCAAAGGTCTCATAACCATCAAGGCTCTGTGTTGGTATTGTATTCCCCCCCACACACTTTAATTATAATGCAGCGAATATTATTTTCTCAGGCAGGGAATGAAAAAGATTTAAAATCCCTCCACAATAACGCTGGCCAGATGCAGAGAAGTTTCCAGCACAGACACAATGTGCGCTGCCACTCCAATATGACTGACTCCTACGTGTGTTAATAGCGACTCTCTTCGGGCACTGAAGACATTTTTAAGGGCTGAAATGTTTCTTTATTTGCTGCAACGCTCCTCAGCTTCATTTGCTGAGACTGCTGTTGAATCCTGCTTGCTGTAGGAATGCATGTGGGTTGGCTTGTTTGTTTTTTCATGGCCATTCGTGTCAGACATGACATTGAGATGCCATTGAAAAAGATCCGGGGGCAGTATGGGAAAACAAGGGCAAGAAGAAGAATGTGGGTGAAGAAGAAATGGGGCATTGAGAGGAATCACAATGAAATACCGAGAATCTGTTTCTAATTAATTCTGCAGGGCAATAGCAGAAAATCAGAATCATTCTCAAAACTCATGCAAAAGACCATCAAACATTCCCTGATTTTATGCTCAAATTGTAGCCCTGTGTATACATTACACTGGGCAACAATTTTTTTTACTTTTTGAATGTTGTCTAGATTTCTACAACTGATTTAGGGTATTTTTGCACTGCTGAATCAGGAAATGGCATCCGTTTCTCTCCATCAGGTCAGGTTTACTGTAAACTGAATGGTGGGCATTGATAAAGGTAAGTACATGTAAATTGCATGTTGCTTCACCATTTTTCAAACTTCAGAGCATGAACTTCCATTTCTTGGAACTCCTGGAATGCTCAGCGGCAGGGAGGTCTCTCTTCAGAGTCCAACAGTAGTCAGCCATCATGACTGCGTCCCAGTGACCCTGATACCTGGTCTCCATCTCTTTCATGTCCTGATGGAATCTCTCCTCCTGCTTGTCACGCATTGAACCCAGGTTCTCAGGAAACCAGTCCATATGTGAAAATAGGTAGTGCATCTTGATGCTCATGTTGAAGCCCAGGTTTCTGCAAGCAGTCAGCATGTTGTTGACAAGTTCTGCGTAGTTTCTGGCCTTATTGTTGCCAAGAAAGTTCTTCACTACCAGAACAAAATGCCTTCCACGCTTCCAGTTCCACTTCGTTTATTGAGTTTCCGAACTCTGGACCTCTGATGAGCTGACGGATCTGAGGACCGTCAAAGATGCCAGCTTTCAACTTCTCCATGGTCAATCCTGGAAAAGCCTGGCACAAGTAAGTGAAGCAGTCACCATCCTTGTCCAAAGCCTTGGTGAACTGCTTGATTAAGCCGAGCTTGATGTGCAGCGGTGGGAAGACTGACAGGCCAGTCCTTCTTCGTGTAATGCTGAGCACGGTCCCTACTATCCCACATGCACAGAAAACATGGGTACTTGGTGAAGCCAGACTGTTGTCCCAACAAAAAGTTCACCATCTTCAGGTCAAGACAAATAAACCGCTTATGCTGATCATAACCAATTTCTCCAGCACATACTTCACCGCTTCATTGTTCTCCTTCAGTGTACTCGAGTGAGCCAGGGGTATAGAGGCAAACTGGTTGCCATTGTGTAGCAGAACACTTTTCAGTGATCACTTGCTGCTGTCAATGAACAGTCTCCAATCTTTGGGTTCGTACTGTGGCACTCCAAGCCCCATTAACTTAGTTTTGATCCTCCAACTTTATGCTTTGCCGCACCAATTTATGGAAGATTTCGAGGTTTTGTGACTTCAAACTGATACCTTTTCGACATAATCACCCAGAACTATCGGACCTGAATACTTCTTGTCATTAAAATAATCATTTCCAATCAAAACAATTATTTGACATGGCATTTTACCCCCACCAACTTCTTCTAAAATGCTCCACACAAGCGTACATGTGAACAAAAACGTAAAAAAACGACATGTAGCCATAGCTCAAAAACTTGACCTGATTGTGCAAAATCAATGTGATTTTTTGATTCAGTGCATCAGATTCATCCTAAATCAACTGAAAAAACACAGACAACAAATTTATTGTTGACCAGTGTTATCCATGCATACAACATCGATGGGTATATAAGGGACTGATGCTAGGCCGCTGGTGCTTGATCTGAACCCTGACATTGCACACAGTGCTCTAGCCGATCACCCTTTTGTCCACAGGTTAAGCCAAGACATCTGCAAAGGGGCGCTGACTTGCATTCAACTACCTGGAGGCATGTAAGTCCACCACATGATTGGACACTGGGGGAGACACATGGATGTTGAGGACTACCCAGTTCCATGTCATGGCACATAGGCCAATACAAAATCATATGGGTTTCTGCAGCTGGCTAGATTAAAATGTACTGAGAGCAGATGAGGCCAAGGAAGATTGACAGCTACTCCCCTGAGGTTAAAAGATATGCCCACCTAACATAGGACAGTAGAGACAATATGGTTGGCTATATCAGGGGATGGGCAGAGGAGGAATGGTAGAGACCGCCTCCCCAGCCTGACCCTTCCAGAGAAGAGGAAGGCAGTTCAGAATTACATCAGGGGTTTGAGGGAGATCACAGCTCAGAGGCAGATGAGGGGGAAAGTTGGGAAATAATGGGAGAGGAGGGGAAGGAGGAAGAAGCACCAGGGGAGAGCCAGCTGACGGACTCAGTGTCTTTAGAAAGCATTCCAGACCCTCCCTCTCCCAGAACCAGGTGGGCATTGAAAGTAGGAGAGCAAAGAGCTCAAAGACAGAAGGTACTTCTCAGTATCTGTAGTAGAGACGTTGTGCTTAATGAATGAGGAAGTGGGAGAGACAGGGGAAGCAGATTCACTCGGGACAATGCCATTATCCAAGAGGCTGGGTTCTAAAGCCTCTTTCTGTAAATACTGAATAAAAAGTGGACAGTAAGAACATTCCTGGTCATTGTACATTCCTGGCCAACTGGCCGTGGGAGTTGCTGGAAGCAGCCTGACAGGCTGCAATTCTGCAGCAGGTAAACGGTATGTGCATCCCTGCATCCCCTCTCCAAACAAACAAACAAACAAACAAATAAATAAATACATTATTATTTATTCCCCAGCCACTCTGGGCGGCTTCCAACAAAATATTAAAATACAGTAGTCCATCAAACATTAAAAGCTTCCCTAAACAGGGCTGCCTTCAGATGTTTTCTAAAAGTCTGGTAGTTGTTTTTCTCTTTGACATCTGGTGGGAGGGCGTTCCACCGGGAGGGCGCCACTACCGAGAAGGCCCTCTGCCTGGTTCCCTGTAACTTGGCTTCTCGCAGCAAAGGCAACTTCAACTTCTCAGTTAACCCATGGAGTAGGTAGTCTGGGCAGAGACAGATGGCAAGAAGGGTTGCTGCTCATCCCCAGCCCATAATGAATTATGGTAGGGGCAGTTCAGCGCCCACCCTCCTTATTTTCTCTCTCAGGATATTCAAATGTTTCACATTCATTACTTCAAAAATATTTATGTCGCAAGTTTCTTCTTCATCCTCATGCCTCAAATCACATACCGGGGGGGTGGGGGGTGGGCAAGGTTGAGAAAGAGTGCCTTTCTCATCTGTTTCATTTTTTAAAATCTCGTTCTTCCCTGAAGAAGTTCAGGATGGTGTACATGGTCTTTTACACTTTATGCTCACCAACCACTGTATGAGGTGGGGCTGGCTGACAGAGAGGGAATGAATGGCTCATGGCGAGCTGAGGAGCTGTGTAAATGAGCAGAGATTTGAACCCAAGTCTTCCCATCAAATTGACAACTGTAAGCATTGCACTGCCAGAGAAAGTCTCCTTCTATCTATAATGCAAAACTTGCACCCACACTGTGTCAAAAACATTTCCCACACCCGGCAGTCACTTAAATCAAATGCCTTATCCAGAAAAGGAGACCAGCTTCTTATTTGTTACAGCTTATAAAAATAAAATCTCATTTGTTTCTCCTTTTATGTACATGTGTGGACTAAGTGCCTAGTTGTCTCTCACTCCTATGAAATGATGGAAAGGAAGAGTGTTTCCAATATGTTAAATGAACCATTTCAACAACTGCAGCTGCCTTAGGAATAATTAATCATTGAGCTACTTACTGAAAGAGGACCTAGTGCTGGGGATGTTCCAAATCGGTTTCACAAAGGCATGCATAGGATCCGACCGAACAAGTCCCATTTCCTGCTGACAACCACAGTGTCAACAAAGGGAAGAAAGCCAAGCCCAAGTTCCCTTTCTCATCCAACATACCTTACGAAGGGCATTTAGCTGAATGAGTTTAAATGCCAGACAATATTTCTAGAAATACCCATGCCTAGTTTCAAAAGTAATGTTTGAAAAAGGCCCAAATAATCAATCTTTAAAATGCAATCTATCTTTGGCACTGACTTAAGCCCTCTATAATTTCACGACATAATCTAAACTCTGTACAATGGGAACCCAAAATCCAGTGCATAATGTATGCAAATTAATATACTGCAGGTAACTATGTTTGTTTTGCATGAGTTTACGTGCTTGATTTTCAACTATGGTTTTGAGGGGCAAAGTACACATTACTTTTAACGAACGAAAGTTGCCGACATTCCCACACACCCAAATAATGTTTATTCAGAACTGACACATGGTGCGATGTCATCATGCTGTGTATCCCTCCCTCCATGGTTTGACTTCATTGGCTCCTGTTTGTAGGGTGTGGGGCAGCATTGAGGGTGATGTAGGGTGACTGTGAACAGAGGACATTTGAAGGGCTTCCAGAGAACAGCCCTCAACTTGGAGGAGCCTTCTGCTATTGAAAGGGCTGCTCGGTCCAAGTTCGGTTTAAATATAGAAGAATGGAAGAAGGGAGAGCCAAGAAATTGCCTATCAACAGTTAGGACTTGGGCAGCAGACTTAGCTAGCAGGCACATGGGGCTCCAGTTCACACAATGTCAGGGATAGGACTCAAGAGGGTGAGATGGAGGAGGAGGAGCTGACACTGCAGGAGAGGGGGAAGGCAGCATTGAATTACAGCAGGGCTTTGAGGAAGATAACAGCTCAGAGACAGGCGGACAGCAGAGTTATTGTGATGGCCTGGGAATCCAATTCAGAGGCTGAACCGGAGGAATCCCAGCCTGCACAGGAGTCCCCGCCTCCAGGGCCGGCTGAACTGGGGCAGGGCCTTGATTCTGAAGCGCCTGCACCTGTGCCGGATCCTCAGGAGCAGGCACCAGGTGAATCCACTCTGGCTCCGGAGGTGGTTGAGGACTCAGTGCCTACAGGTGAGTCTCCCCTGGGTCCAGTAACCCTTCAGCCTCTCCTGAACTGCAGAGGCTCAGGGCAGAGAGGCGAAGGGAACTGGTTTCTCCCAGGAGGAGTGCTCGCCTTAAGGCCAGGAGAAGCGGGTCTCCTGGGGGCTGGGACCGCCCCTGGCCTCAGAGAAGATAAAGGCCAGTCAGCCCGGTCCCAGGTTGCGGGAGCAACGTCGTTGATGAGCTGTTTCGGCCAGCATCCAGTCCTGTTCCCCCAGAGTTCCTGTCCTTGCCCGGCTTCTCGCTGTGGACCCTGCTTTGCCCGAGGAGGACTGTCTGGCGACCCTCAACTCAGGTTCTGGACCTCGCCCCACGGTAACCTCCCCCCTGGACCAGCACAGTTATGCTGTGTTAGGAGAAGGAGGAAGGGAGGCAGGACAGCTAGCTCATGTCACTGGACAGCATAACCAACCCCCCTTCTCCCCAAAGGGTGCAAGAACAAAGAGCCCAGAGACAATTGTCCGCGGACAGACACCATAGAAGCAGGTGTCGTTGTGAGAGGGGGAAGGGGGAGGAGCTCAGTGTGAGCAACTCCATTATGGAGGAATAACTGGAATTCTTTGTCTTTGACCGTGATGACTGAATACATCATACGTAAGAACTTTCTTGTTTCCTCCCTGCCCCATGGTGCCATGGGGTGAGAGGAAGAGGATTCCTCAAGCCTGACACACAACCTCTCTATCTTATTATGATAGCCAGGGCTAGTTTTCCAGAAAAAGAGGTGCTGGAACTCACCATGAACACCTTTCTTGTTCTCTTATAATGGCAATGGTGCCCATCTGAGAGGTGCCAGAACTGAGTTCCAGCGAGATCCGGCATTAAAAAGCCTTGGTTATAGCCATTGTTTATTTATTTGCAGCTAGACATATAAATCGCCAGGTGCAAATTTGCATCCTCTTTGGTCTTGCTTTGGTGACGTATTTCTTTGTCTGGTGGAGCATGTGTGAGTGGGCATTCTATCAGGAGACATGGCGTGGAGGTGTGGAGCAGTAACAGCTACTGATTGAAAATCATGTGTAGTTTGGTCCAAACTCTTTTCAAAAATTCAGGTTGTTGGTGATGAGTAATTTTAGAGCAGGAAGAGAAATATTGATATGTGAGGTGGGAAAACTGATAGGTAAGAATATGGCTGAAGTCACAGGTAGATGGAAATATATAGCCATGTCCTGAATCCTGGACTCTCTTGCTGACGCTAGGAGATTAGACCTATATTTCCAAAACATAGGGCAAACGTTTTTTCTTTAAAAGTTCATATTCTACCAGTAGATTTTTATATATATATAAGAAATTTGTGGAGGCCTGTGTAGACATATAATTGCAGAAGATGAAAACTTGCTATGCTACATCTTGGGCATTTCAATGAGAAATGTGAAAGGGATGAAGTTCCTTTTCTTTTAAATTTATTTACATATTCAGGTCTGCTTTAACTTGCACATGTCTTGTCAAACATGATTTAAAATGAAACTGAATAAAATGAAATAAATAAACCTGCTACAACCGAAATAAACTGTGTTTGTGGTGGCAGTAACCTGGGTGGATACCTGATTCTTGCCATGCACAGTCTTGACCTTAATGTGCCAGTTTTTAGTTCTGAAACTATAAATGTCCATGGGAAAAGGCTGCTTTGCTTTCATAAAACAATACGCTTGAAGTGTTTTAAACCTCTCAATGCCAATGGAATCCCAAGCCTCGGGACAAATATGTCTAAGAACATAGGGCATAGTCAGGAGACCATGAAAACTGTCATAGCTAATTACAAGAAAGTGTCAATTTTAGACGTTGCTCACACTTGAAAAGTACACATGGAGAAGAGAGAATGGGACTGTACTTCTGGGGCATCAAGCTCTCTCGGTGTCTATATGTTCATTGTGATAACTGCAAAGCAGCTCTGAGGCATGGCAGCTGAACACAGAATCACAGTATCATATAATTGTATAGTTGGAAGGAATCTTCCAGGAATCTTTTCCCCCAACCTGGGTCTTGAAACCACAACCCTGAGAGTAAGAGTCTCGTGCTCTACCAACTGAGCTATCTTGTATAGGTGTGCCATGCATTTGGACCTGCCAATTAGAGGAGCGTCTCCATGCATTTAGCCCAGCTGAGCTTGAGTAGACACCAGTTGGCAAATATTGTGTTCAACGTGGGGATATTGTGGGTGGAGAAGGCCTCATAACCAAAGTTCATGATATCAGGGTGGAATCAATGATACAGTCCCACTTCCCCTTTTCCATACGTAGTATACACACATTAATTAATTTCTGCAAAAGTCCATGTGTTCACAATCTTTTGGGTCACAGCCATATCATCAAAATAACAAAAAAGAGAAGGAAAAAAGAAATAGATTTAGCAGATTATTCCTCACTTCACTTTGTATGAACCTTTTAATATTTGTTATTCTGTTATTTCATTGTGCTTTATAATGATAGTATCATACTAACATGCATATTTTTGTGATGAAAGAAATGTTGAGAGTCAGTGTGGTGCAGTGGTTAAGAGCGGTGGACTCGTAATCTGGGGAACCGGGTTCGCGTCTCCGCTCCTCCACATGCAGCTGCTGGGTGACCTTGGGCCAGTCACACTTCTGTGAAGTCTCTCAGCCCCACTCATCTCACAGAGTGTTTGTTGTGGGGGAGGAAGGGAAAGGAGAATGTTAGCCGCTTTGAGACTCCTTCGGGTAGTGATAAAGCGGGATATCAAATCCAAATCTCTTCTTCTCTCTTCTTCTGTACATTGCAGTCCCCAAGTCACACCTGTTAATGTTTCTTTGAGCTAGCCCATGCTAATTTTATAATATATAAAAGAGCAGGCTCTCAGATCTCACCGGCATTAATCCAGTCCAAAACTTAGTTAGGCACACTTAAACCCATTGGTTTTTACCGGATTTAAGTACACATCTGGTTTGGCTCTAACTGAACACAGTTTACTAGCTGTGTGACAGTGGTCTAACAGCCAAGACAACAAGATATGTAGAAGTCAGCTATCTGTGCCATACCACCATTTTGTTTTTATGAACGTTTGTAGCAACCTAATGCCAAGTCTAGCCATTTGCACCAGGACTGGCTGGTGGCCGCTCTCTGCAGCCTTGGGCAGATGGAAGTCTTCCCTGTTCTGGCCACCCAAGATCATTTTCGGGTGTCAAGTATTGAATCTGGACCTTTTGCATGGAAGGCTAATTTTCCACTAGTGAGCTCTGCCCCACTCCCAGTTTTATAATTATTGTTTTTAATGAGAGGGGAAAGTGCCTAACCTGAAATAATTAGCATTTGGGAAGAAATATATGCTACATATATTTTTGAACATATCCTTTTGGTCCGATGCAATGCTTTTTTTTTACAGACTCTTTAGCACAGGACTGCACAGCTTGTTTCTCACCTAGCCAGACACAACCCACCAGCTGTGGGTGTTGTTTCACAGGGGGCTGGATAAGGCTTCTATGATAAGCACAGCCACAACGCATCACTCCTGGACTGTGATCGGTTTGATGGGTCACAATCTGCACAGCGCTGCCTGCTTAATTTCTGCAGGAAGTGTTTTCTAGCCAAGAGGGGATTGCTTTGTCAGTGACTTTGTATATGTTTTGCGTTAAAGAAAGAAAAATAAATGCTTTGAGGAGTAAAGTATATCAGTTTGTTCCTTTTGCCATGCGGCAATCGGATTGCATTGTTGAGACTGAGAGAGGCATACAAGAAAACTAAGCAAAGAACTTCCATGGGACTGAAATACTTTGTATGTGTTGTTATTTGCAGTGCATGCCAAGACAGTCATGGGCACAAGAGCCAAGCTGGCCAGCTAATTAAGTATAAAAAAAAAAATGTATGTGTTTAAACAGCCTTATAAAGGAGCATTGGAAATCTGCAAGATGAGCGAATATCTTATAACTTCTTCCGCAGGTGCGAGGATAGCTACAAGCCATGGACTTTCTGTCCTGCTTCTTGTTTGTGGCTTTGTGAAGGGTGCTTTGCTTTAATCTAAAAAGTGCTGACTTTTTCCAATATCACTTTCTCTTCTTAAAGCAAAGAGCAAATCGCCTGTAAAACCTACGGAGCGGACAGCAAAGTTGACCCTAACTTCCAACCACCTCTCTGCACCCAATGTACTCTAATTCTCTACACAAAAGGAGCACCTTCTTCAGGACACACACACAAAAAACAAAATGTTAAAAAGAATTTTTTTTGCAAAAGGAGAGAAGAGGCTAGCATATAGTTTCTTCAAGTCTTACTTTCTTTGGAATGTACCACTGGTCTTTTCTTTGAGGGGATCTGGAGTGCTGTAACAGAACATTGTTCAACTTGACGACAACATTTTCTTCCACTTTCCCCCCTCCTTTTTGATTCAGTGAAGAGAAGCATTGAATTCCCTTGAGTCTTCAGGGGTTGCCTAGAAATTTTTAGCATCATCCAACTGAACATTTGTTCTTATACTTGGACAAGCACCACTCTACGCAGAAAGGAAGCAGAATCCAAATGTCCCCTTTCCCAAATCTCAGCCCAAAACTTGCCCGGCCTGCAAGATCTAAAACAACACAACCTTGTGTTGAAAGTGCTTTTTGTTCTAGGCAGCAAATCTGACAAGAATTCAAAGCTGCTCACTGTACAAGAGGACTATATGTTTCTGGACGAGGCGGAAGAAAGTGTTGGAACTTCTCCTGCGCATCCTATCTTCTTTCATTTGATTTTCCCTCTCCCATTACTGTTTCTTCCTTTCTTTCCTGTTTGATGGTGGCAGCTGCTGGCCCTTGCCAACCCCTGGGGAGCACTTGAAGGTTTCTATAAATACATCTTTTATTTGTGTGTGTTCTCTATTTTGATGTGTTTTCTCTAATTTTGCAACTCCTGTATATGCAAACCTAACTTAAATTCTGTAAATTGCTTACAGTATGTGTGATATAACTTCAGAATAGACATTCTGTGGTCCATCCTGCAAGCCAGTTTGAGTATTATCTCAGTGTGGTGCCACCAAATGACATCTCTGTTTCCTTTTCAACAACGCATTCATTTTAATTTGTAATTCAGTGCTATGTGAGATTTTGTAATCCATGCAATCACTTTTCACTGGTCTGAGCCCTTGCAGATGGCAATGCGCCCCTCTGTTTACTCTGTAAAAAATGCACATTAAAATTTGTTATGGTCTCCGAGCATTGAATTATTTGCATTGGACATATGTCATGTCGGAATTGTATTGAATTGTCTTTTAATTTATGTATGTTACTGGAGATGAAGTGATCTTGATTATATGGCCAGAAAAATGTAGAACTACAAATATTTTGATTATTTACTGTATTTCCATACCACCCTTTATCCAAGGATTACAGGGCGGTTTACAATATAAAACCACACAAATGCATAACATAGTAACAAACGAAAAGAGTAACTCTTTCACACGCAAGGCCATAGCTTTTTTTACTGAGTCAAAGGCTTGGTTATATAGGAATGCTTTTGCCTGGCACCTAAAGGTGCCAAATGAGCTTCCCCAGGGAGAGCATTCCACAGAAAAGACCCGCTCTCATGTTGCCACTCTCAGGACCTTTCATGGAGGAGACATACAAAGCAAGGGCTCAGATGGTGAACGCAAGATCCAGGTCAGTACATATGGGGAAAGGCAGTCCTTGAGGTATTGGGGTCTTTAGCCATTCAAGGCTTTAAAGGTCAAATCCAGCACTTTAAATTGGGCCTGGAAACTAATTGGCAGCCAGTGCAGTCAGGCCAGAATTGGCATTATATGCTCAAAACGCTGCCCCAGTGCGCAATCTAGCTGCTGAGTTCAGCACCAGATGAAGTCTCTGAGCTGTCTTCACGCATAACACATTGCAGTAATGCATTACCAAAGCATAGACCAGGCACCCCCAAACTCAGCCTTCCAGCTGTTTTGGGACTGCAGTTCCCATCATCCCTGACTACTGGTCCTGTTAGCTAGGGATGATGGGAGTTGTAGTCCCAGAACAGCTGGAGGGCCGAGTTTCGGGATGCCTGGCATAAACAACAGAAGTTAGGCTATCCCTCTCCAGATAGCAGTGCAGCTGGGCCACCAACTGAATTGGATGGAAGGCACTCTGAGGCCACCAGAAGTACCCCCAAGCAGTGTACCCGTATCCCATGGCATGCAATGGAAAGGCACAATGGAAAATGTGCCTCTGTATCTGGATGGATCTCCTTTTAATTATGAGGCTAAGGAAAGAGAATTTGCTACCCTGCCTACCTTAGGGACACGGGTGGCGCTGTGGGTTAAACCACAGAAGGTCGGCGGTTTGAATCCCCGCAATGGGGTGAGCTCCCGTTGCTCAGTCCCTGCTCCTGCCCATCTAGCAGTTCGAAAGCATGTCAAAGTGCAAGTAGATAAATAGGTAGCACTCTGGCGGGAAGGTAAACGGCATTTGCATGCGCTGCTCTGGTTCACCAGATGCGGCTTAGTCATGCTGGCCACATGACCCTGAAGCTGTATGCCGGCTCCCTCGGCCAATCAAGCAAGTTGAGCGCCGCAACCCCAGAGTCGGTCACGACTGGACCTAATGGTCAGGGGTCCCCTTTATCTTTTACCTACCTGAATTCACTCAGAAGTCCCAAGGCTGCTTACTTTTTCCTTTCTTTATGAGGATTCTAATGGAATGTTTTGATTTTTATTGCACCCCTTATGTGAAAATGGGAGGTTTGTGATTGCCTGTTCATGATTTGTAATGAGAATTGCATTTGACTGCGGTATCAGGTAGGCAGATATGTCCAGGTCTTCAAATAATTTGAGTCGAGGAGGAGGAGGGAGAAGTAACAGTACAATAAAGTTTCACAACTCTTTGGCCCTGGCTTACAATCTTAACAAGCAAGACACAAGGCAATAGCAAATGATTAAAAATGAGCATGTCTGCACTTGCTAAAATCCACAGTGCAGGTCTGTACCAAGTACCAAGTATGTGAATCTATACTGAAGTATCAGTTTTATTCCACTTTCATATCCCCAAAGAACCTTGGGAATTCTGGTTTGGTGAGAGTGCTGTAAATTCTCTGGTGAAGATCCCTACCTCTCCTCACAGAACCATCCATGCAGCCGTTAGTTTACTGGAGGAAAGGGAGGGTTTAAAACAACTTGTTCCCAGAGGGGTAGGGAGGGGTAGAGTGAGTATTATATAAAACCTTTAGAAGACATCTGAAGGCAGCCCTGTTTAGGGAAGCTTTTAATCTTCAATAGGTTATTGTATTTTAGTGTTTTGTTGCAAGCCGCCTAGAGTGGCTGGAGAAACCCAGCCAGATGGGCGGGGTATAAGTTATTATTATTATTATTATTATTAGTTTATGGTATAGGATGGATGCTTTCACAATATATCATGTGAGAACAAGTTTCAGTACCTTTAAAAGTTGTGTAGACAGGAAAATGTCAGCCATGGGCATCCACAAGAATTTTTCGGGGGGAGTAAAACACTCAAAGGTGGGAACAGGGGAATTCCTCACAAAAATGGGAATAGCACACTTTGCCTCGTATCTCAGGTTCTACAAATGCTAGACATTTAATGTTTGTTATAAAATGAAAGCTTGGGACTTGGGGGGTTATGGTTCTTGTGGGAGGGGGCAACTGCCTCACATCCCATGAATGGCCATGATGTCAGAACCTGCCACTTTTCTCACTCCTGCACAATAAGATGAATTTCCTTCTTCAGTGAAAAAAGAAGGGGGGGAAAAGTAGAGGCTGTTCCTGAGGAGCCAAATGAAGAAAGTGAAGAATGAGAGGTAAGCAGTTATTGCAAAAGATACATTGCATACATGGATCAGATAGAAAACATAATAGACGATAACAACAACACAACCAAATAAGCAAGTAAACAAAGCCTCTGGAAACAGACATGATTTCCATGAACTCAGTTCAGCAGGTGTCTGAAATGTGAAATAGCCCCAAACTCTGAAAAATCTACACAAATCATAGTATATAGCTGATGGAGAAGCTGGTCACTTTGCCCATTTTACTGTTGCTAGTAGTTATCCCTTTTAATTTTCTTTATCTGAAATTCACTCTTGTAGTCAACTGGGCCCTGCCCCTCTCTCTTCTGCCAGAGCATCCTCCTCCCCTTTCTTCACATCAGAATTGTTGCACTACAACTCCCATCGTCCATGATCATTTTTTTCCACATTGGCTAGGCTGATAGGTATTGGAGTCCAGTAAAATCTGAAGGGTCAGTTTAGCCTCTTCATATGCTGAGTTCATCAGGTAGACTAGGGTACAACGATAGACTTGATTACCTTCTTCCCAAGGTGAGGGGGACGGGTGACCTAGCTAAGCCTGGCCTGTCAGCCTTAAGCATATTGGTTATATGAGGCTGATTATCCCATAAAACCATCAATATTAGCAGAACCACCATCAGAACACTCCATGCACATGACAGAGTGAACTGTGGTCCACTTATGACACAATACATTTATTAATATTTATGGTAGCACAAGCAGCACCAGATTTAGGGTCTTGGCAGGGTGCTGAGACGAGGGGGCTCAAAATCAAGAAGATCCATAATTGAGAAATTTGGGGGTGCCAAATTTTGGTCTCTCACAGGGTGCCATATTACGAAAGCTTCTATTTTTGCTGCAGCAAACTAGCATGGCTATCTGTCTAAATATAGCTATAAGATAGAGATGAATTACACAGATATTAGATTGTGTGAATTTGGTTTAGGCATTAAGAATATTCCTTCCTAACCCCCTTCCCAAGTGGAAAGCCCATATTAGAGATGACTATTTGCACTTGGCCATGTTATCAGCAAATGTCAGCTGGTGTTGACAGAGCTAAAAACATTATGATCGAGGAATCAGATCGACTTACACATTTCAAAGGCTAATCTGCTATGATTAGTTTAGGCAAACAATGCTAAGCACAGAATAAATTGTTTAACACGAATCACTATAAATTGCTTAAGCCATCTGGTCCAATATTTCTTTAATGGCCAGTTTGGCTTATTTTGTTTTCTATATCTGAAGATAGAATTATATAGGGTCATCTAGTCCAACTCCCTGCAATGCCGGAATCTCAGCTAAAGCATCCATTACACATGACCATCCAACCTCTGCTTGAAAACCTCCAAGGAAGGAGAGTCTACCACAGTTCAACAGCTCTGTTGGAAACTTGTTCCTGCTTAGTTTCATGAAACTTGAATCCAATAGTT